CCGGGATCAAAAGCGAGACGCGCAAGGGTGTCTCCGGGTTACATCGAGCCGCTTAAAACGATCTTCCCTCTCTCTCTTTCTTTCTCTACTTCTCTCATTCGCGAATTCGAGAGTTTCCGCAGGAAATAATTCGCGAAGAGCTTTCTCCTGTCTTTCCGACACCCGGGATAATAAGAAGTGCGTCTCTCTCTCTCTCTGTTCTTCTCTTTCTTATCTGGTTTTTGTGACTCGAAAATTTCCGGGACGATCTGTCAAACCGCGAAAAGCGTCGAGACGCAAAGTCGCGAATTCGAAATGATGGAAAGAAAGCGTGGATTCTCGCTGATCCTGGCTTGACGTTCCAGGTATTCGCGAGGGCGGGAAAACGCAATAACGAGACCCGACTTTTCACGTCGCCGGGATTTACACGAGGACGCGGTAAGAAGGTGCGGATAAGGGTCCCTCCGATTTCCATTCGACTGGATTTACGCGGAGACTCGCGGAGAAAGTAAAAGATGAAGCTCAACGAGAGGGAAAGTCGCGAAGGGAAGGACGTGTCGAGGATTCGTTGTTACTCGCCCTTGTTGAAAATCGATCGCGGCTGATTAACGCGCGACGCGGTCGGAAACGAAGTCTCATGAGAGGATTCGACTTTGATTTGCGACTTTTAAGTTTGAACGCCGAAAAAACGACGAGGCGATCGATGATTGAACGATTCGCGGCGTGAAAAAGATCGTATTGTTTGTACGAATCACCCTCTAAAATCAAGGCTACAAAACGAAATCTATCCCGTTCTCTCTCTTGGATCGCTGGACTCCGAATGGATCGATTAACATCGTGTCATAATGAAGAACTTCACCGAGATGCGGCAATTATCGGTACGAATATCAAGTTAACACTCTCAAGTTACAAACAAGTTATTAAAAAGAGTTGTTATGCAAATTTTTCAATCATTATATTCCAGGAGAACTTGACATCTCTCGAAATTTTTTTGTTAATTTATTAATTTATTAATTTTATTAATTTTATTAATTTTATTATTTATCAATTTTATTATTTTTTTATAATTCTATTTCATATATCTTATGTATGATATTTTAAATTTACATATATATTAATAAAAATTCATTATATAAATTTTTTATTAAATTCATTTATAAAATATAAAAAAATTGTAAACGTATTTTATGAAAAAAATTATCAAGCTATTAAAAAGTTCACATTATACGTTTTTAATTTTTTATATATACATATAATATTTAAATATTATTAATGAATAAATATCAGAGTTGAACGATGCATTATTTATTTTGTTTTGAAGATGGAAATTCAATTATTAGGTAAATGTATATTAATATTTATTAATAAAACAAAAAGAAAAGTAAGCTTGTATATCTGTTATGCATTAGTATCTATTCTTTCTTTTACTCTAACTCTTGATCACCGAGCCTTCTTCATATTTTTATGGAAAAATAATTAGCTAGAAGTCTCGATCTAAAATCATAAGGAATTAAACTGAATTTTCTCTCCATTTTACAGTTTCATTTTCCCAAACAAAAATTCCCCCAACCCATGGATCCTAAGGACTCGAGAATAAATAGAGTAGATGAATAAAAACAATTCAAAAATTGGACACTTGAAAGAGGGGGAGGCGCGGGTCGCTTCTCGCTTTAAATATCACGTTAAATTCACGTTAAAATCCACGCGTAACAAGATAATCGGGCGAGATAAAACGAGTCAATTTGATTTCTCCCGCCGCATTTTCGCGATTTGTCTAACGTCGAAGATGCTCGTCGATTAGCGACGATGCACAGCCGGAAGTAATCTCGGTGCGCGCTTCCTCCTGCCACGTCCCATCCCCCTCGCCCCCCTTCGCCCCCTCCCACGTTATATCCACGCAATTATTCCTCGAGGAGGACTTTTCTCTCCGCGCGTGCATGCTTCATCGTCAAGTCGGAACGATCAGGGGATTACGGAGGCAATCTCGAGTACGATTCGCGATATTACGTATGTTTACATAATCACGCCCCCGTATTTGCGAGCCACTTCCACGCGGTTACACCCCCGAGAGGGTGAAACGAGGGGAGAGATCTTTCCCGCGCTCCCCCTTTCCCTTGTCCGATCGAATCTGGGATTATCGAGGCGATCCCGATAGGATTCGCGATGTTACGTGTGTTTACATATTCGTGTCGTTGCATCTGCGAGCTATTTCCGCGCGGTTAGAGAGAAAAGGGAAAGAAGAGGGCGAGTTCCCCTCGTCGAACGAGATTACGAGATTATCGAGCAATCTCGAGATATGCACGTTTTAGTGATGTATTAATCCAGCAAACACCAAATAACAGTCATATAACTGTTACGTAACATGTAACAGTTTATATTGTTGTTATATAATAGTTAAATAACCGATGTACAGGGTGTTTCAAGTGGTAAGCAAAATTTCAGGAATGGATTTCTCACACAGAAAAAAAAAGTCGAATCGAAACTTGTTTACTTAAACTAACGCGTTCATTGTTTCGTATATACGCAACAATTGCCAATCTTCTTCGAAGAGTTTAATAATTTTAAATTTCAACAATATTATCGTCTTATTTTAATAATTGTAATTGTCACCTCAAGAATATATAATTATTTAATTCTACTTTAAGAAAATTATAATCTTTGATTTAAAAATGTTATTTCCTAGCCAACATTGTTTCTTTTCCATTCGAGAAAATTAAATCTTAAATCATGAGAATATATTTTTCTCGATTGACCTATATAAAATGGCTTCATTCAAGAGCAATTATTCAAGCAATTATATTTTTCTTAAATTAACGCGATATAATCTCATTTCAAGATTTCCATTAAAACTAAATTTATTTTCAAAATAAGAATGTCCTTTTTTTCTGTGTATGCTTAGAGAAGAAAAAGAAAATTAATCAACATAGGTCCGGAAACGATTAGTTTTTGAGTTATTAAGATTTTTGTAATACAAAATTTTGTCTCATTTCTCGTCTTAGAAATCCTTTTACAGGCATCAACAATGTTTTGCAGGCCGCCGAACTTGAAAAACATTGTTGAAAAGGACATCTAATTGTAAGACGAGAAATGAGATAAAATTTTGTATTGTAAAAATTTTAATAAAATAAAATTTTAATTAAATAAAATTTTATATTATAAAATTCTTAATAACTCAAAAACTAATCATTTCCGAACCTATGTTGAACTTTTTTTTTCTTCTCTAAGCATGAGGAATCCATTCCTGAAATTTTGCCCACCACTTATGAAACACCCTGTATAACCATTATATAACTGTTATATAACAACAATATAACCGTTACATGTTATGTAATTAGGGGAAATTGCAACTAACAATTATATAAATGTTACTTGCTGTTCGCTGGAAAGATATATTCGGAGAAATATCCGCTTGCCCTTGCCCGATCCACCCACCCCTCCTCTCCCTCTCGCAGATTGCATGTAGGGCGTGCGCGCATTAGCAGTTTCCTAGGCAATCACAGGCCGGAAGTTGTCGGCGAAATTATTAGTCCGAAAAGCGGATACGCGAAGGAGAGAGAAGCCAATTCTCCCGCTCGCACGGAAGTCACCTACATCGACTTGGATGATTTCCCTCGACGAGAGCGACGGAGAGAGGGTGGTATCTCGTCTCGAGCTCCTACTCCGGAAAGTTTGCGCCTCCAACCCCCAATCCCCCGTCGTGATCGATGTACCCGATAACTTTACACACGCGAGGGACTAGTTAGCGTAATATAACGTCATGCGTGTAAGCGGATCGGGAGATCTAATCTGGCGAAATGGAATTTTGCAGGATCCTCGCGGAAGATTTCTTCCCGCGATCCCCACGTTCGACTTCCCTGATCCCGAGTCCACGTATGCGGAGAATGAAGATCGAAGCGATCGCGCCTCCAACCGAGTCGCTTTGAAATTCAAAACAATATCAAGCCGATACGCCTCGACTTTAAAACCGGACCATCATCGTCGACCTCGTTAAGCTTCGTCTCCGGTGAAATTCAATTCGTTTAACGAGCCAGAAATTTAGTATTTGAAAAAGCCTACTCCTCGATAGAGCAAAGGGAACGCCTGTAAAACAAGAAATCGTGTGTCTTAATAGGGGTAAAAAATGTGACATGATAATAGAAGAAGAGGAAGAGTTTGTTTCGGTAACGATAGAAGATTTCATAGAAGAAAAGCAAGAATCTCGATAAAAGAGAATGAAATAGAGAGGGAGAGAAGAAACAAAAAAAAAGAAGAAGAGTAGGAGATTCCAACTCGAAGAGGAGAACCTAGTTGGCTCCGAATAATTGTTTCCGGAACCCAAGTCTTCCGATATTCTTCCCCTTCGATTCCAGATTTATCGGAACAACAGACGTTCGAGAATAATCTCATCGGATGCAAAGCTTAAAGCCCTCTTTAAGAGGATCTTAGGAAGGATTTATGTAGCTTCAATGTTGGCGTTTGAGTGAAGAACGAAGAAACTTGGCAAGAATCCAAGAAATAATGCATACGATGCGAGGAATTTTCGCAGCGAGAAAGCGAAAGTGATTGTGAAAGGGAATCGACGTCGATTCTCCCAAGACTATTAGCTTGCGGAGAGGGATGCGGCAAGGTGCGTGTTGCCCGAGAAAAGGTCAAAAAGCCAAAGTTCACGGTCGGTGTCCACATATTCGGAATCGATGGCGAGGAATCCGACCTCTTCCGCGAGTCGACGATGCGATGGACCATCTAGGATTCCGTCTGCGGGGAATACGGTAAGTACCAGAGCAGAGGATATTGTTCCGTCTCGACGTAACCTTTTTAGGATTTTAATCGCACCGTAATTGGGCCGTAATCAAGCTGCAAGGATTCAACTTGTTTGTAAGGAATGATAGAGGAGAGATTCGATTGACGAGAAAGCACTCGGGCAGAGACGAGCTGTATCATCTTGAAATAGGTGCTTGCTTCGAGATAAGAGACTCACCTTGACAGATGTAACGGGGGCGAGGGTGGATCGAAGATCCTAGATTCCGACGAAGCGAGGATTGCCAAGGGCAGCGTGACACAGGCAGACCACAGCCGGCGGTTAAGATGCGCGAGCGCGTGCCTTGGCCGTTGCTGTTCCTGACCTTGTCGCTGCAGCGGTTATCGACGGTGTCGTTGATGCAACCGAGGATGCACAGCGAGGCGGTGCTGATACCCGGCGACATCGTGCTGGGCGGACTGTTCCCGGTGCACGAGAAGGGCGGTGGCACCGCGTGCGGGCCCAACATCTACCATCGGGGCGTCCAACGTCTCGAGGCGATGCTGTTCGCTGTAGATCAGATCAATCGGAAGGACGAGATGCTGCCGGGGGTTAGGTTAGGGGTGCACATCCTCGACACGTGCGGCCGCGACACGTACGCGCTCAATCAGAGCCTGCACTTCGTCAGGGCGTCCCTGTCCAACATCGACATCAGCGTCCTGGAGTGCGCGGACAGGTCGACGCCCAGGGTGAAGAAGACCGCCAGCGCGGGGCCCATCTTCGGGGTCATCGGTGGTTCCTATAGTTCGGTATCGCTACAGGTGGCCAATCTGCTCAGGCTCTTTCACATCCCTCAAATATCGCCGGCTTCCACGGCCAAGGCGCTCAGCGATAAGACCAGGTAGAGCTCTTCCCTTCAAGTTAGAAGCTCAAGTTGTAATATAGTTTTTATTCGTGGATGTTAGATAAATTAAAACAAGGAAATGAAAAAATTAAAAGAATTTAAATTAAAAAAATTAAAAAAAGAAATAACCCATCGTGCCTGTCGAGTAAAGTGAGAAAATAAAGTTGTGTAGAAATATACCGAGTGTTCTCGTTGAGAAATAATTTTCTTTTCTCTCGATATTATTTTTTGAAAATTCAAATTAAAAATTTTATATAAGTAAAAGAGAATTTAATAAGGAACAAAATGTAACAAACGTGATAATAAGACGACGACTGAAAGAACGATGAAACAATTTTTGCGTCGACAGACATAAATCATTTTGCACACTACAATTGTGACAGAGGGCGTAATTAATTATACATTAATTATATAAATTTGCATTCGCGTGGCTCGTATTATTGGAATGCATATTTTTGCGAATTTCTACTTCACGTTTCTGTTCTCTTTAAAATTCATAGTTTCTGAATAAATTCTAATTCTGTCGGAAAAATTCGTAGCTTGATGAAGATCTGCAATTTAATTAAATATAAAATTGCTAAAAAAAAGTAAGGAGATAGTATTTCACGTGTCGATGAAAAATACTTGCATTAAAAATGTTTAAATCTCCAGTCCTGGAAGATACACTCTGGAGATAAACTCTCCAATTATTGGCTCTGACAATCGTTGATTCATCGGGTAAGACGTTGACTGTAATTAATGTGAACTTCTGACATTTCTATCAAACGGTTTCTGACGTTGTTTGCCGACATCGTGTATGAGTGTCATTAGAAAACTTTCAAGTTGTCCCTGTTTAACGTTCTATGTGGCTTTAACAAGTACATATTTGAAGATACAACAAAAGCGTACGACGGGAGGAATTGGACAATATTTAAGAGCTATGAATTTTTATAATTAATCCTTTGGATTCCTTATCATTAATCTTCTAGAGTAACTAATCTCTTAATTTTAACCATCACTTTACAGAAGCAATTGTCAATGATCCAGGATTAAGGAAATTAAAATTAGTTATTATTTGATCAAAAAATTATTATTAATTTGTCAATGATCCAGGATTAACGAAATTAAAATTAATTATTATTTGATCAAAAAATTACTATTAATTTGTCAGTGATCCAGGATTAACGAAATTAAAATTAATTATTATTTTATCAATGATCCAGGATTAAGGAAATTAAAATTAATTATTACTTGATCAAAACATTACTACTAATTTGTCGATGATCCAGGATTAAGGAAATTAAAATTAATTATTATTTGATCAATGATCTAGGATTAAGGAAATTAAAATTAGTCATTATTTTATCAAAAAATTACTATTAATTTGTCAAGAATCCAGGATTAAGGAAATTAAAATTAATTATTACTTGATGAAGAAAATTACTATCCTCCTTCAAGATTTATAAATAAATCAAATAAAAATATTCTTGAATAATGTAAAAATGATTTTGTGATAGCTTCATGAAAATCCACGATTACTTATAAAGTCGATCATGAATACTCGAATGGAATCAAGTCGAGTTCTCACGTGTCTTACATTCGCCGGTGATTCCTCAGGTTCGACTACTTTGCGAGGACGGTACCGCCGGACACCTTCCAGTCGATCGCGCTGGTGGACGTGGTGAAGAGCGCCAACTGGTCGTACGTGTCCACCGTCTACTCGGAGGGCAGCTACGGCGAATACGGCATCGAGGTGTTCACGCGCGAGGCAACGGAACGGAACGTCTGCATAGCAGCGGCGCTCAAGGTACCCAGTGCTGCGGATGATAAGGTGTACGACGACATCATCCAACGTCTGAGCAAGAAGCCCAACGCCCGCGCGATCGTCCTGTTCACTCGGGCGGAGGACGCCCGAGGTATCCTCGAAGCCGCGAAACGGTTGAACCTCAGCCAGCCCTTCCAGGTCAGACATGAGGAGAAAAACTCCCCCAGGTAGCCCTATAAAATCTCTTTCTTCCTAAACCATAATAACCTACCAATATCTCTGCAGTGGTTGGCCAGCGATGGCTGGGGTCGACAGAGCAAGCTGGTCGAGGGCCTCGAGGAGGAGGCCGAGGGTGCCATCACCGTCGAGCTGCAGTCGGAAAACATCCCCGGCTTCGACGAGTACATGGCGTCGCTCACCCCCGAGAACAATCGACGGAATCCTTGGTTCGGGGAGTACTGGGAGGAGGTGTTCGGCTGCCGCTTGAGGAGGTACACGCCGAGCATGGAGCGTCTCAGTCAGCAGGTGGGCTGGAGGAGCGCCAATTCCGGCAATCAGAGCCTCGCCCCGTGCAAGCCCGAGTTGAGGCTGACGGCGGCCAGCGGCTACGAGCAGGAATCCAAGGTGCAGTTCGTCGTGGACGCGGTGTACGCGTTCGCCCTGGCCCTTCATAATCTACGCCGAGACCTCTGCCGCGACCGCGTCGAGGGCCTGTGCCCGTCCATGGCCAACTACGACCGCGGCGCGTTCTATAGGAATTATCTGCTGAACGTGTCCTTTATAGGTGAGTCCGATGAAACGGCAGAATAATCGGGGACGACGCGACGCGCCGTTTGTTCGCCTCCCATTGTCCGTCGCCTTTCTCCACCCCCGCTCTTCTTATCGCTCTCTGTCGAGAGCGCTGGAGAAGCGCCGGGAGGAAGGAACGCTAAGGAAATATCGAAGGAATGACATAATTGATCTTAATGTAAAAAAATTGAATACCCATCGTCAATCTTGAAGAGTGAAATAACACGACGGTTAAGCTTTTATATCGGGCATAAAAATGATTGCTCGCTGGATCAATACTCGGCTCCCTCGTCACTTTTACCTTCGAAGACTATTATGATTCCACGCTTCACGTTTGTACATTTTTCAAGCGACGTTTGCCCAAGCTTTCTGCTACGCACGACACATACTTGACGAGCTATCGCCCTCTCAGATCGCGTCGTTAATTCGGTTCGAGAGCCGAATGTCGTTTCAGGGCTCGCGGCTGAATCCGCGGTCATCACGATCGTCACGATTTTGCAGACGACGCCGGCAGCGAGGTGAAGTTCGACGAGCACGGGGACGGTCTGGCGCGATACGAGATCCTCAATTTTCGAAAGGGGACGAACAACAATGGCACCAACGGCTATCACTATCGGGTAAGGTTCATTTGGAGAGCAATCATCGCGACACGCCGTTATCGCTCTCCCCCGCCCGTTGCATAATTGAACAAACCGTCTCCTCTCGCCGGGAGCGATAAGTTGAATTGGGACTCCGAGGAAGCCACTTCGGCTTCTATAAAGTTTCCATTTCCACGTCATTCCTTCCGCGGATGGGATGAAATTTTCCGGCGGTCGGGCAATTTTGACTGTTCGAGGCTCAAATTGGTCGGATCCCCTCGGGTCTGAAAAATTTATTTCCAACTCTTTTCGGTTATACAGCAAAGTTGTGCTTTATATTTCGATGGGATTTTCGAATTCAAAATTAAAATTCTTAAAATTCGACGCTTCAGAGATGAAAAATTGGAATGTCATCGGAAATGCTATATCGATTTCTTGCATAATAATAGAAATAATACTTGGATTTAAATAAACGTCGATATAAATCAATTCTATGGCGATCGATTGTTTTAGTTTTCCTGCTATTTAATGTTTGTTAATTAAAAAAATAGCGATATACATATATGAAAGTACTTAAAAGTCATTTTGGATATTGGTTTTTACACGCCTGCTTTCGATAATACGCGTGTAAAGTCGGCGCGATCGATGATGCGACGCGGAATCGAATAAAACGAATGCGCAAAGGGATGGCTCTGCCTTTTTAACGAGTAATTAAAGTTGCACCGTGACTGCACTTTCGAGAGCCCTGAAAACTTGTGAGAAAACGCTTTCCACCAAGGAAAACCGATGCGAAATTGGATCCTCGAGCTCTAGGACAAGAAAAATATGAGGGTGTTTAGAGTGAGAGAGAGAATCGGAAGTAATTAGCCAGTAATTTAAGTTTAAAAGTAAAAAAAAAAATCCAACGATAACAAAAATGTTTGAAAATTGCACGAAATTGTATTATAATTTATAAGCAATTCTACCCAGAAGTATATTTATATTATTTTGATATTATTTTGTTTTACTACTGTAAATATAACAATTAATTGTGCAAATGTCATTTTGAAGTTGCACATTTTAAATATAAAATATTCATAAAAAAAAAACCTTGGAAATTTTTTATTTGATTCTCTTTCGATGAAATGTAATTTCTGCGCAAAATATATAATCGCGAGGAAATGTTTTTATTACATTATTCCACCGGAATAAACTTTTTCCATCAGGCGCGTAATTAAAATTAAGCGCGACAAAATTCAAATCCCTCTCTGTCTCTTTTTCATTTGGCGCAATTGGCCAAAAAATTCGAGGGTTTGATCAGCTGTCAAATCTCGCGGGCGGAATAGTCGATCGAAAAATTTGCGTATCGGAAGCGAGCGAGGATACATGCGACATACGGTGACAAATCAATGGCCGACAGGTGGTGGGCAAATGGTACAATTCCCTGGACATTCGCACGGAGGAGATGGTGTGGGCGCGGGGGACGAAGGATATACCGATCTCCGCGTGCTCGCTGCCCTGCGAGCCAGGTATGATAAAGAAGCAACAGGGTGACACTTGTTGCTGGGTCTGCGATCAGTGCGAGGCGTACGAGTTCGTCTACGACGAGTACACCTGCAGGGACTGCGGCCCGGGATACTGGCCGCATCCTGACAAACGGGGCTGCTACCAGCTTCCGATCAAGCATATCAGGTGCGCGACTTCATGTCCTCTTTTTTTTCCTCTATGAAGCTTAAACACTTGACGTTGCTATCGATCCTAAAATAAATTTTACTTCAAACAGTATAAAGATTTTTTTTTAAAGAGTAGGATTTACAGATATTGATTAACATTATAATAATTATAAGAATTAATATTATAATAATATTATAATAAATTAATATTATTATAATAATATTATAATAAATTAATATTATAATAATATTAATTTAATTGGAAGAATAATATTTTTTTCGAAAATATACAAGACCAACTCATTTTAAGGGGATTATTGTCCCATTTTAACCAAAAGATAATTACTCAAGAATTCATCTTTCATCAGGTGGAGCAGCGCCTTTGCCATCGCGCCCGCGGTGATATCCTGCCTGGGGATCGTGACGACCCTGGCGGTGGCGTGCCTGCTCTTTCAACATCGCGACACCCCGGTGGTTCGTGCCTCAGGACGAGAGCTCACCGCGATCCTGCTGGCGGGCGTCCTCGTCTGCTACCTGAACACCTTCGTGCTACTCGCCACCCCGACCACGGCGATCTGCGTCCTGCAGCGCTTCGGGATAGGTGTCAGCTTCAGCGCCATGTACGGTGCCCTGCTCACCAAGACCAACAGGATCGCCAGGATCTTCGATTCGGCCTCGCGGTCTGCCGTCAGGCCGCGGTACATTAGTCCGACGTCCCAGGTTTGCATCGCGGCTGCTCTGATCGCCTTTCAGGTAAGTGGATCCCGATCCTGATGGGATAAAGTTTCCATTTCGAACCGAGCTTTAAAAGAACTTTGCGTCTTCTCTAGCTAGCCAATTTCCTTTAGTTTACGTTTATTTACTCGTTTAAATCAAACACACGAGCTTCTCGTAATGCGTAGCATGAAATGAAATTAGGACGAGATTGTTAATTAAAACGAGTAATGCGAGCTTGGATAATTATAAGGCGATTAATTGTTCGGAGTTAAATCATCCATGCAATTTAATGAAAATCTCTAGTGAGATAATACCTGTTTATTTGTTTGTTTATTTATTTATTTATTTATTTATTTATTTACTGAATGATATATGCTGCATATTGAATAAAAAAGGAAGTGAAATATATGATTGTTAGCACAATTAATCAACCGATTGTAATAAAATCGTCAAATTAATTAGGAGATGTAATAACATTTATAAAGATTTGATAGAGGGAAACATCGAGCAATCGTAAAAGAAAAATACAAATTTAAAAATTAAAAAAAAAAATTAGTTAAAAAATTTAAAATTTAGTTAAAAAAATACAAATTTGCAATTTTAAAATTCCAATATTCGAGGGAAGTTTCCTCAGAATAATTTTTAATAAGAAAAGACTATAAAACCTTCGCGTCGAGGCGAAGGATATCCCAACACATTTCGGTTCGAAATGGGCGCTTTGTCTTCTCGTCCGTCGCGAGACATAGACACAGACAGAGATGACTTTTCCGAGGTGGTGCTCACGCTGATCTGGATGATCATCGAGCCGCCGGGCACCAGGTACTCGTATCCGGATCGCCGCCAGGTGATCCTCAAGTGCAACATCCAGGACATGAGCTTCCTCTTCTCCCAGCTGTACAACGCCCTGCTGATCCTCGTCTCGACCGTGTACGCGGTGAAGACCCGCAGGATACCGGAGAACTTCAACGAGAGCAAGTTCATCGGCTTCACCATGTACACGACGTGCATCATCTGGCTCGCCTTCGTGCCCATCTACTTCGGCACCGGCAACGCCCACGAGACGCAAATCACCACGCTCTGCGTGGCCATCAGCCTGAGCGCCTCCGTCACCCTCGTCTGCCTCTACTCGCCCAAGGTCTACATCATCGTCTTCCAGCCGGACAAGAATATACGCGGCAAGGTCTGCATGGGCAGCACGTTCAAGAAGCAGGGCAGCAGCGCCGGCGCCTCGTCTATGACCAAGTGTGAGGGTCTCCGACAATATGATCTCTCTCGAGTTACGTGGTTTCCGTCCAGGAAAGGAAGGGAGAGGCAAGGGAGTTTCTCTCGTAGATCTCCTGTTGGCGAAACAATTTGCCGCGCGGCGCGAATCGATACGAGAAGGGAAAGACCCTTTCCTTTTCCTCTCCTATCCTGGAAACCCGACAATCGATCTCTTATCTTTCCGCTGCACTCGATTTATATCATCGTCTCGTTTGATGGCGCGTGAATAATGTGCGCGATAATTAGATGCTTAAAATCTATAAATCAATGTTTTTGCTCTCGTTTTCAAAAAAAATCCTCAGGAGAAAATAGCGGAAGAGATGATGAAGACGCGTAAAAGGCAGGAATAATTATATTGCTCGAGATGCATTTTTTTAAATATGAATTTAATTAAGTTCCGTCCGCGAACTTGACAATCGCAGGCTCACGTGCGTCGCGTTTCTCTCTTTCTCTCCGCAAAACAATAATGATATGAAAATGACATTTCAAGGTACCTAGCTTTAAAGGGGACCTGTAGCGTCGATCCGGCTTCGGAATTCGCGACGCATCCGAAAAATCCGACATGACACGATGTGACATCCGGAGCTGACGACGACGAGGATGTCGATGAATCGCCTCGTCATCCCATTCGGGGCTTTCGCTCGAAAGAAAGTAATCGATACGCGGGAGACGGTTTGATATTCGATAGCGTGACGGCGGCTGTGGATGTAACAGCTCCTAGCTGGAATCTGGGCCAATCCTGGCGCGGATTTAGAAGCGCTTTTCGCTTATTAAACATTTTATTTATAATGCAGATCCCCGCACATTTATTTTTTTTTTCTCCTCCTCGCGAGTTTCATTCACGTTCTTTCTGAATTCAATTGATTCATTCAATCAATTCATTATTCACGCGCTATAAATCATTCGGTTCCTACCGTTGCTTTGTGATTAACAATCGTTGATTATTACGCGGCAGCGGCTACGCAATCGTGAAAGGGATTACAGAGCGAGAGCTGGCGCTAATGGTTGGCTAGGACGATTCCCTGTCCCATAAGCGGTACTAAATTATTAAGTTAATACCGTCTCTCTGCTTCAGCCCTTGTGTAAATTTATAGGTGGATTATTCCGGGGAAATTCGGGAAATTTCGTATCACGATGCGTGACTGCATTATATACGAGCATTACATATCACGGCTTATATTATGAGACAATGATTACGTAGGTCCTTTTCTTCATCCTGCGGATGGAGTGAGAAAGAGACGTGCAAAGATACTCGAGAAAATTTCCGTTACCGATATATTAAATTAATATACCACGCATATGTGCTCGTGAAACAATTATTAATCCATATTAATAATTTAACGTTTCAAGATACCGGAAAATTCAAAGGAAAATCATATTAGTTAGAGATACGTATTAAATGATATTAATTGTTAAAATTTAATTTAATTCTTTATTTTAATTTAATTTTTAATTTTTCAAACGAGATTTTTGCCTTTCCAGAAACGATGGAAAAATTATTTTAAAAAATTTTAAATAATATGAAATTAAAAAAAAGAGGTTCATACGATATAAATCAAATGAGATACAAAGGCTAAGAGCCAAACGCCGGTGTAGAAGCGCAAACAAAATTATTATTATTAGCAAATCACATTAAATGTTAACAAATTTAGAGATAGAAAAAATAAAAATAAAAATACATAAAAAAAAATTTCCTTCTCGCTTATCGCAGTTGATTACGCTTTAATGAAGAGCCGGGGATGAAAATCCCAAGGGGAGGGTAGCAAATGCGTCGCGGTTCCGTGCACTTACAATTAGCCTAATACAGTTCACTCTTCTCACAACTAATGGCTAATGAAATTTTCATTTTGCAGACACAGGCTGCGAGTCGGCGAGCGAGAACGTGCCCTTGCAAAGTGCCCTAACCGCGGCGGTGCGGACGTCCGTGGGAGTCACCGAGATCTCGCTAACGTCCAGCACCATCAGCAGAACTAATAACGAACAAGTGGCGCAATTGTAGACTCATACACACACACTCACATACACACATGCGTGCACGGCCTTCGTAATTATGTAAATCGTTGAACGCCGAGGCGCATTCGGAAAGATTAAGATTGATATGGAATTATACACCCCCGACCCGTTGATGCTTCAACTTTAATTTACTTATTAAAGAGATTAATAATTGAATTAAAATTTGAAAATCAACTTTGAAGACGCTGAGCGTCTCGCGATTATCATCGTTATCATTCATAACATTCTATTGTCAATCGAGAAAGAGAGAGAGAGAAAGAGAGAGAGAGAGAGAGAGAGAGAGAGAACGAGAGAAAGAAAAAAGAGAGAGAGATATCGAGATTATTGATCGTTATCATGATCGCTGTTGTCGTTATTGTTACTGTTATTGTGCATAAATTATACGCATACACATAGGACATACACATGTACGTGCATTTATCGATCAAGCTGATATACCGAGTGATCCACTAATTCTAGTCGAGCACCTCACAATATGTATGATTTGGATTGCGCGAGATGTATACATAAATGTGGTTTTCCGCATCGATTTCTTACTTATTTATTTATATATTTATTTCTTTATTTATTTTTTCGAAAAGGAACGTTCAACGTTCTCCGAGAGAGCGCCTTTCGACGAGATAATCGTATATACAGCGGACAATAAATAAATGTACTTAAAGCGAACGCATTTATCGGAACCCAGTATCGAGTGTATTAATCGAGAATACATTGTTCCCACCCGGTTGTTTCTCAACCTCCCTTTTCGTACTTGTTTTAATAATCGCGACTAACAAAACTGATCAAACGTATTTTCAAAAAAAATTCATTAAAAAAAATTCATTAAAAAAATTATCTGGAGGCGTAGCATTTTGGAAAAAAATGTAGATATAATTTATCTCCCTCCCTTACATATAATATAAAAATAATATCATATATAGCCAGATAAATGTGACCAATCATATTGATTAATCACATATTCTCATATTGCTGTCATGTTGCCAACAATTATATTATTATCGACAATTACTGGCAATATGACAGCCGACAATTGGCTCTATCTGGGTATTATATCTCTGTGTTCTCTATCTTCTTTCTATTAAATTAAAAAATTAAAAAATTCTATATAGAATTTTGTTTCAAACGTTTGATCAATTTTGCAAGTAATTGCAAGAGAAGCGTTATTATTGTATTATCGACGATTAAATCGCTCGACTCCCGCGGCCGTTGAAGCCAAAGCGACGTACCAAAAAAAAAAAAAAATAAAAATAAAATAAAATAAAATAAAAATTAAAAAAAAAAGATATCTTTTCTATTGTAACGAGCGCGCGCGGTGCGAGAGAGAGGCGGAAAAATCGAACATGGAAAATAAAACAATTATTGAATGGCGTATCGAGAGCGTGTATCTATTTCCACCTGCTATCCATTATTTCTGGAAAAAAGATCTGAAATCCCGACATGATGATAATTCCACGAAATTCAATTTCCCGTGTCCCGCATGCAAGAACAATAAACATTCGCCGCTACTCGGTTATCGTATGATGCACAATCGGTCCGACGAATAAAATACAATTCGAGTACGTGATAAGTAATATAAAAATCGAGTATGTAAAATCAGCGAAAATGGAAAATATATAAATGAAATAAAAACTAGAAAATATAATAAAAATATAAATAATAAATGTAATAAAATAAACCAGATACAGTAATGTGTGTTAAGCGGTGAATGTGGAAAATGAACGTGGAAATTTTCGCCTCTCGACGCCTATGACGATTTCCTCTTCCATTATCTGCTACATTCTTTTTTCTCTACAAGAGAACCTCGAGCCGGTATTTGATAATCATATCTTGAGAAATAGTTTCGGTGTCGCTATCCGAGCGTTGACATATTTTACAGAGCCGCTCTCACCGAATTCTTTTAAAACAAAATATTTCGGACATAAATTATTCATATCGTTGTGCTCTCTTTAATATATACGCAAAGTGTGTTATAAACATTTCTATTTTCCGTGTCTATTCGCCTGCTGCTTTCGTCTTGTCATATTGAAGAGGATCTCGCTTAATCCAGTTGTCTCACATCAACTTTCTGTATTTATTTCCTTAATTTCACTTGCATTAATTTAAATTGCAAATATCGAGATCATACGATGCTCGAAATGCGCAAGTAGAACACACTGTGTCTACTGACTCGATGATTGCATAATTTCGTCTCGTAAATAAACATGCTTCCTCAAAGAGTATTGAGTAAATGATAACGCATATTTGATAGTCACGAGCATTGTAGTCTCGCGAGCAATCGTGCGTTTCCTCTTCAAGCGGATTGGATAGACATCAGCTGATGGCTCTCCCTTGGCGACTATTGACGGTCGCACGACTGATAAATATTCGAGTGAGTTTACGTTTGCAGGTGAAAAATTCCAAGTGATAGATTCCAGGTGAATAAGCGCGAAGTGACTCGCCAAAACTTTAAACGCACTGCCACGTGCCAACATCGAACGTCAACAAGCCGCGAGTCGGATTGAACTCTGGCACTCTGCCAACATAATCAGAGACCTAAATACAACGAGTCGATTGCATTTGGAGCCGATGGGCGATCGTGAAGTAAACAATGGAATGTGCAATCTGTTGATTGTATCACGAAAATGCAGAATGAGAATTTCGTGCTTCCATCGAACGATTACTTTTTAATGATAGTGTTTTCAATTTGAAATTAATTTTCGAGAATATACAGGGTGTCCCAGACTTAACGAATCAGCCGTTAATGGTAGATTCCTGAGATCATTTGGAAACGAAAATCTTAATAAAATGCTGAGGAAGATGTAGGTTCGGCGTTACAGAAGATTAAAGATTACCAATCGACGCGTTACGTTCTCCTGTGCTCAGGGACATAGCACATCAAAGAGCTCGTACAGTGCAATATTATCGATAGAGGGATAAAAAAAAATTAAAAAATATGACAAGTCAGTAGTTTGAATATTTTCATGAAGTCTTCCTCAACATTTTGGTCATAGAATTTTTTCCAAATGATCTGAGGAATCTGTTAACGGCTGATTCGTTAAGTCTGAGATATCTTGTATACACTTGAAAAGCAAATATGTTTTTCTCTAATTAAATTTCTCTTTCGATTGAGAAGATAATCGATTCTAAATCGTCTGTCATTAAGAGATGATGTAAAACACGATATAAGTAAAGAATACAATGAAAATGTATCGCTACAAGTAAAATACGTTCTCCTCTGTATCTTCGAATCAATCAAAAGCTGTTTGCAGCTCCAAAATCAAATCCGCGGGTTATAAATTGTTCTTTCACATTACTTTATCTTAATACTCTTCATTTGATTGCACAATCGTTGATTCAAGCTTTACACAGCTTTACCTGTTTTATAATTTTGCAAAATCCTAACGATTACGACTTTAAATGTCATATATACGTATTTTACTTATAGCGTCGCTCAATAAAATTGTTATCATTGTACTCGCCAGCGATGAAACTTCTCTGTTTGCACAGGCTGAGAGATCGCATGGTCCGATATGCCGCTTCTTGTTCACCAGCACAGTTCATTCTGGCAAAGTGGTGCCCTTTAAACTGTCAGACATCGGCGAAGGGATTCGGGATGTCACCGTGAAAGAATGGTACATTGCGATCCCGTTTCTTCCCTCTCGTACATTTATTCGGATCCAACGACGATGCACTGTGGAATTTAATATAATATGTTAGAAAAAAATCTTCTAATAATATTTTAAAAATATTTTATTTATTCTCGCTTTCTTTCTTTTAGAGAGAATTATTTATATATACAGAGTGTTTCAGATCATCCGTATCACCCATTTAAAAAGGTTTGAAATCATCATTTCTTAATTTTACATAAACCATAAATATCTTATAAAATATTCATTTTTCGATTATCTTACCTTAATACTTTTATGTACAAAATAATGAGAGGAATCAATCGAAAGATAGCAAAGAAAACATACAGTTGTTTTTAAGAAAAAATATGGAATTATTAATTGCAAGTTACATATTTTTTCTTCGAAACAACTATGTGTTTTCTTTACACCAATTGATTCTTCTCATTATTTTATACATAAAAGTATTAAGGTAAGATAATCGAAAAATGAATATTTCACAAGATATTTTATGGTTTATGTAAAATTAAGAAATGATTTCAAGTCTCATAACTCGAAAAGTATTTCATGGAAAAACAATTTATTATAATGTTTTGGAAAGCTCTCAAGGTAAGCTATAAGAATATGCAATGAAAAATAGGGGGTTCCATTTAAAAAAATGCACTTCCGGTCTCAATCGTCTATTTCCGGCCGGAACCAGAAGTTGAAAATATCACCATTCGATAGAGCGCATCCGATTTATAAAGAAAATTTTTTTACTTTTTTGAAATAACCACTTCTCTAGTTTTTAAATGGGTGGTACGCGTGATCTGAAACACCCTCTGTATGTGTGTGTGTGTGTGTGTGTGTGTGTGTGTATGTACATATATATATATATATATATATATATATATATTTTTTTTTTTTTTGTTTTTTTAAATAAAACTTCCAATTCTAATTTTTTATAATTAAATTACTCTACTATTTCGAATATATTTAATTAGAATACTAATGTGACACTTGATAGTACGCGGAATATTTCAGGTTCGTGAAACCGGGTGACCGGGTGAGCCAGTTTGACGACATCTGCGAAGTGCAGAGTGACAAGGCATCGGTGACGATCACGAGTCGCTACGATGGCCTCGTCAAGACGCTGCACTTCAACGTGAACGACGTCGCCATGGTCGGGACAGCGTTGCTGGATATCGAGGTAGAGGACGATTCAAAGGATGCCGAGAAGGATTTAGAAGGAATTAAAGAGGCCAAGAAAGATTTGGAAGAAATTAAAGAGGCCAACAAGGACCAAGCGGTTGACGGTTCCGACAAGAAGAAGGAGACAGACGAGACGGAGTCGCAGGATGATATCCTTGGGAAAATATTGGCGACCCCGGCGGTGAGGAAAATTGCCATGGAGAACAATATAAAGCTGAAGGATGTGGCAGCGACCGGCAAAGATGGTAGGGTGCTCAAGGAGGATATACTGGCTCATCTGCGGAAGATTTCCGCGACTCCGGATGTTCGGACGAAAGTTTTTCCGGGGAAGGACATGGCGGGGAAGACGGTAGAACTGAAAGGATATACTAAACACATGTGGAAAACCATGACGAGGTCTCTGGTAAGTCATCGAGGTATTAAAAATGTCTAAACTGTTTACAGATAAATTTAGATGCCATAATTTTAAATTCAATCAACATTATAATTATTACACCTGAGATAAAAGAGCATCTTGTTTCTTTTAATATTATATTAATAAAATTTTAAATTAATATTATATATTAATTTAATATTCCTTTAATATTAATATTTGTCAATTTTTAAAATTCCTAGTTATAGGAAAATTTATAATAAAATTATTTTAATCTTCTTTTTTATATTCTTTTATGTTTTATTATCAATTACAACAATGTAATTTTTTATCACCGTCTAAGATTCTAGTATATTTTAATTTCAATCTACATTTCTTAATTATTTCCTTTCATATAATTCCAATTTTGCCTATAATTTTTATTTATTTCTATAAATTAATGAACTGTCTTCAGACTTTTTATAAAAAAAGAAACTTACAATTTTCGTGAATTTCTTGCAGAGTATACCACATTTCGTCTACAGCGACGAGTGCAACGTGGACCAGGTGATACAGTGTCGAAACAAGGTGAAGAACTCGTTGAAGGACGAGGGTGTCTCTCTGAGTCTTATGCCGTTTTTCGTGAAGGCGGCCTCGCGAGCACTAGAACGTTGTCCCGAATTGAATGCCTGGTTGAACGAAGAGGACAAGACGTTGCGAATCCTGGACAGTCACAATATCGGCGTGGCCATGGATACATCGGAGGGCCTGGTGGTGCCCAACATCAAGAATGTGCAGAATCTCAGTGTTCTCGCGATCGCGCGAGAGCTCAACAGACTCCAGGAGCTCGGCAGAAAGTCGTCGATACCGCTCGACGATTTGGTTGGCACAACGTTTACGTTATCAAACATAGGCACGGTAAGTATTAAACGGAGAATTATTGCGACCCAATCGAGAGTCATTGATTTGTCATCTTCGTTGATACCAAAATTGGAATTTTAATTACACTGCAGCTTTTTTTAGCTTCGTTTAATTTACATCAATCAGTTATAATCAATAAAAATGACAAAATGATATAAAAATCATGAGAATCCTGATTCCTATCAGAAGCTAAAAGTCGAATTGCATTCTGGCAATTAATCATATTAATTTATAGATCGGTGGAACGTACACGAAACCGGTGATCCTGCCGCCGCAGATAATAATCGGAGCTTTTGGAAGGGCGCAGAAGGTGCCACGATTCGACGACGATGGAAAGGTGGTTCCGGCCCAAATAATGTCCATCAGCTGGGCAGCGGATCATCGCGTTGTCGACGGTGTCACGATGGCAAAATTCTCCAATCTGTGGAAGCATTACGTGGAGAATCCGGTGCATCTGCTGATCGGCGCATGATGAGGGATCTAGTCTCGGAGTCTCGCTTGAAAAACTCGACGACGTGTTTCTCGGATGCCGTTCTTACGTTCTTCTAATGTCATTTTACGATAAGGTGTTTAGAATAAAAATATAACTGCAAATAAAGAAAAAAGTGCTAAGCTTTTGCTAACTTTTTTGTAAAGAAATGAAATTCCTCCTAGGAATTTAGGAATAATGGTGAGGATCTTTTCGATTTTCCATGCAAATTTACTCGAGAGATCGCGAGCGTAAGAGAATCGAGGATACTTTTGTAAAAGTATCACGTCACTCGAGCACGATACTTAAGATTCGATCAGAAGAGACTTAAGGGCGTATCGTAAAACTGAAGCTTTTACGACGGGATGCGACATTGCATATGCAACGATCCGAGAAAAAGGAGGAGGAGCCACTCGGCCACTTTTTCGAATAATTAATGTTGTTACGATTTCTTGATGCAAAGTAATAACATCGTAAGATGAATCGCGTTTAAATCGCTTTGTACGTAAATATTAATTTATTTATTGCTGCACAACCAACTAGGACTTCTCGTTAAAGATCAGACATCTTTCACTAACATATTCAAAATGCATAGTAATTGTATAATAGAAGACGACGTCCGGTAGAGAACGCGAGTAATTTCTTTGTACATCGATCCGTTAAAAACTATAAATTATTCATGTGACAACCATAATTGAACGCACGCTAACGAAGTGGTTGTACCGCGATAGAAAGATATTACAAGAACGACAAATCGTCCCCCGGATAAACATTAATGAAACATTACAATAATCAACATCATCGAATTTAAAAAAAAAAAAGAAAAAAAGAAAAGAAAAATCCGGCAGGAACAAAATTCGCTTTAAAAATTCCTTTAACCACTAAGGACAAATATAAAAATGAAATGAAAGTGAAAACACCAACGTATGGCAAGTAAAAGGTACAACCACTTGATTGCTTTCGCAAAGTTTGCTTACATACGATTAGTCGCTTATCAATATATACATCCATAGGTACAACTTAGAGTTTCGTTTCATTCACACGCGCAAAATTTTAGATTCGCAATCACTCCATAACGATAGCGAGCCTTCTCGAAGCGGAAGCGAGTTGGAATCGCGCTAAGAATCAATCGGTCAACGACTTTCACCTCGATTCTAAATTGCCCGAGAAACAGAAAGCTCTAAATAAGAATGAGATGAACTCCAAGAGCTCTTTGTCCGGTCGAATTTGCGAAGAATCGAGCTCAATTGGGGCGATTCGAACGCGCTCCGATCGATAAACGCTTCGCTAGACACGTAATAGGTATCCAAAAAGGTATAGTCAGTCTGTTTAGTTTACAATAGTAGAAAAGAGTACAATATGTGTGCTCGTGGTCCATGAAAGTGGAAACTTCTCCGTCAACGAATACATATTAATCACAATCAATCTCCTCTTTTCAATCTCCTTTTTCAATCAGTCCAACCGTTTTTTCTCGAGAGTCGTGATTGAAGAAGAAAACGGAGATCAGCTTCTTCATCTAATACTTCACCGCATCTTCTCGAGATCAAATGCAGCGGCAAGATGAGAAGAACGAACGACGAGCTAAAAGAGAATCAATCTATCGAATATATTTGTGAACAAGAAGAAAAGAAGATAAAAACAAAGAAACCGCTTTTAATAAAATCCTCAGGTCGTCGCGACGATTAATAGAAGAATGAAGACGAAAAAAAATTGTCGACAGAATCAGTCGACGAAAAAATACTAACGCGTTCCTTATCGGATCTGACTAGGTATGAATAATTCTACTTTGACATTCTCTCGATACGCGAAGTTCTAACAATACCAAGGCGGCTTCCTCGATCGTAAACTTACTTAAAATCTTATACATCGTACGTAACATCGACGAAGAACGAAGATACAAGAACAGACACTAACTTAACTTAATAACAACGAGTAATTAATCTAACGCGCTGGCGCTTTCAGACCTTCCGACATTTTTCCTTCGAACAAGAGGTCCTTGATCCTCAGGATTCTCGATCGACATTTTTCGAGAACCAATATTTTAGCAATCTATATATTTTTGCAATTAACAATAACAAATAGCTCGGCATTAACTATGCAATATCACTAAATTACGAAGTTAATTGTACAAATAAAATTAAGCGAATTGGACTCACGTTTGCACAAATATTGAAATATGTAGACTCGATTTTTGCGAAGGAAAGATGCGAGACGTCTGGCGCAGACGTGGACAGCTTTTGCGTCCACGTCGACTTGAATTATAACAATGCGCACAATATATATATACATATATAAACGCAACATACATATATATGTAACCGAATAACGATTTCATTTGTGTTACCAATCTTCAGTCCTCCACGTTCCTCTTTTTCCCTCTGATATTCCCTCTATTTGCGCGTCATCCTTTTATCGCCTTCTTCTTATCGCGCAAAAATCTCCATTTATTTTATCTCGCTTGTCGATCGACAGTATCACTCGTGCGATCATTAATCGTCATGATTGTTCCTTCAACGGGGAAAAAAACAATTCGGCGAGCAATTGCCGAAATAATCGCTAAATCAGTCGCATTCCGGAAGACCTTTTCATGCGTGGTCTCGAGATAGCATATATAATCTAATAATATTAATAATATTAATAAGAAATCAAATAACATGGTACACAAGTGTGAGACGTACAAAGCTGATGCGGCTTTATCCTTAAGCACTGGCACAATGAAACTTTTCCTTAAAATTTACATATTCATTATACATGTATAAAATAATCAAAAATTTGCATATATATATTATATATATTTTATAAAATTTATAGACGTTATACAGGGTGTTTCAGACCACCCGTATCACCCATTTAAAAACTAGAGAAGTGGTTATTTCAAAAAAGTAAAAACATTTTCTTTATAAAGTATAAAAAATCGAGTGCGCTCTATCGAATGGTGATATTTTCAACTTCTGATTCGGGCCGGAAATAGGCGATTCAAACCGGAAGTGCATTTTTTTAAATGGAACTCCCTATTTTTCATTGCATATTCTTGTAGCTTACCTCGAGAGCTTTCCAAAACACTATAATAAATTATTTTTCCATGAAGTACTTTTCGAGTTGTGAGGCTCGAAATCATTTTTTAATTTTACATAAACCATAAAATATCTTGTAAAATATTCATTTTTCGATTATCTTACCTTAATACTTTTATGTAAAAATAATGAGAAAAATCAATTGGTGTAAAGAAAACATACAGTTGTTTTTAAGAAAAAATATGGAATTTGCAATTAACAATTCCATATTTTTTCTTAGAAACAACTATGTGTTTTCTTTACACCAATTGATTTTTCTCATTATTTTTACATAAAAGTATTAAGGTAAGATAATCGAAAAATGAATATTTCACAAGATATTTTATGGTTTATGTAAAATTAAGAAATGATGATTTCAAGCCTCGAAAAGTACTTCATGGAAAAATAATTTATTATAGTGTTTTGGAAAGCTCTCGAGGTAAGCTGCACGAATATGCAATGAAAAATAGGTTTCATTAAAAAAAAATGCACTTCCGGTCTGAATGGCCTATTTCCGATCGGAACCAGAAGTTGAAAATATCACCATTCGATAGAGCGCACCCGATTTATAAAGAAAATATTTTTACTTTTTTGAAATAACTACATCTCTAGTTTTTAAATGGATGGTACGAGTGGTCTGAAACACCCTGTATAATGCGTCGAATATATATTAACCTAATCATTAATATAATTTGTTTCCAATAGATATATTCTATATACTGTCTTCAATTAGTACATCTCGTATACTGATGTAAAAGCATTGAAATATAAACGAAATATCGTCTTTAATATTTAACACAGTAATTAAAGGATTGGAGATGCATCCTTCGTTAATGTTATAAAAATATGCGCCAGTGTTGAAGGATCCTAAAATGACGGTCGTTCAAAGAGTAAATTTTTGAAAGTGCAAGAGAGAGAGAAATCCGTAGTGGATAATCTGCGTCGCTACTGTTGAACGACTCTGGGGGAGACTCTGAGACACTGACACTGAAGTATAAACATTATTATCGATATAAGTACGGCACATAGAAGAATATTTTCTTTTCTCTTCTACTCAGACAAGTACGACAAGGATCCCACAGCAAAGAGAAGCGTCTCTATTACTAATAATAACCCCGAATGTTCAATTACACCAAAATCATCCGATTCGAGTAGCTGCGTTTTTTGGTTTGTCGCCTCAAAGGGAATAATAATCGAACATTCGATTGAAATGTAACATCGTGATTTTACTCTCATCTCCCCCATCTTTACAACGTCGATCAAACCATAGAATTTATAGCTTTGCCGTACGCAATAACAATTACCATAGTCTCAACAACTGATCGCTATACATTCGAATCACGTTAAAAAGGATTCGATTACAATGAAACGGAGCTCCATACGCTCCTCCAAAAGTATGTAGCCGAATCTCATCTGTAGGTTCCTCGAGGAATTCGAAGTCGATTTTCTTTCTTGGCAGAAAATTTGTAATCAATACTAGAGATATGAAAGACGTAACAGATTAATTTTACTTGGTACCTTTCGGTCGACTTTCTTTAGTTGACTTTAGCGAAGAGAAAACCAACTTCAAATCGCACAAGAAGAAGTGGGTCGGCAAAATAGCCTGTAGAACTCTCTTTAACAAACACTTTGATACGCAGGGATAATTGGGAGCTCTATTTACACCACTGGAATCTGTGGGAACCTTGTCTAACTTTCCTTCTCTTCTACAGATATAAATTTGTTTATATATATATATAATATTTGTATATGCATATATCTTTTTTCTCAATATATGTTATGTATATGGATAATAAATAGTACTTTGTTTTCTGGCACATTGTCGGCACTCTCGTCGAGGAGAGAACGCACAGATATAGATATAAATCAACTATTCTATCAACATCATCATCCGCACACGCGCGGAGCTAGAGATATTGGAAAAGACGTTATTGTTCTAGTCGAGGAGGAGCTATGATAACGGATAGATTGCTCATTTAATTTGTTCGCATAGATAGAGTGTTTGAAAAATAACATACTCTATAATATTATATTCTCACGAGGATCATCACACACACCTTTTTCGTATCCTGCGTTGATCGCGAAACAATCAACGGCAGTATCTCAGCTCGTTTACAATCTTATTCGACACAAATATATATATATATTTATGTTTGTATACAGAATGCCCCATTTTGATCGATGCACACAAATATTGAAATATTATTGAAAAATGTTTCACATTCCCAGGAAAGATTGGAGAATTTCAATTGATTATTATTGATAATCTCGAATAAACTCAAATCTTGTTTGGTACTCATTTAATGTTTTTTTTTTTTTTTAACTAATCTTCAAAGAGGTATGATGAAGATCGAAAAGATGAAGATGATTTTTACTTAGCGAAATAAAAAAATTAGATATAAAGAAATCATGTTTTTACCACATGTTGTAATCTCTTCCCTTCAAAATCCTTAAGTTTCACTTGAAACATTTTTCAATAGTACAAATAATCCCAATAATTGCAAATGGATCAATAATATGTCAGGCGCTCTATATATCTCTCTCATTTTTTCGCGAACGTGACGCGTTCATCACGCGATTCATGGATTTTTATTAAAGAATATATTTAAATATATGTATATATATGTTAGAGCTATATAAAATGTACTCAGTCTGAAGTATGTAAAGCGATCGTACGTCATCTAAAAGAATTAGAAAAAGTTTTCCCCTTTGTGTTTTTTCTTCGAATAACTTACAATCATTGGTGGCGACTTATCATCATAGAAACAACAGCACCGGTGGCACGCAGAACGGCAACGGCATTATTGTGATCAGATTTGGTGAAATCAATACCGTCTACTTCCAGGATCTTGTCTCCCGGTCGAAGAGTACCCTGAGCTGGCCCATCCGGATTCACCTTCGTCACGATTATTCCCTTCAAAAGGGATATATATCAGTTTAATGCGAGAATAAAACTCGACATTGAAATTAATACGTATATTATTCTTCTACTCACGGTCTCTGCACCCGCTACCCCGCCAGCTATGCTGAAACCGAGACCTGGATTCTTCTTTATTTGAACAGGCAGCTATGGACAAATTTAAAAAAATTATTTAAAATTTAAAAGCATTTAAAATTATTATTATATTTTTTAAATTGTAGAAAAAAATTGCTGAGAAAAATTATTTGTAATAAAGAGAAAACTAATTCATTAATTAATATTTAATTAATGAATTTAGTAAATTAATGAATATTTAATTTGTAAAATATATTTTATATATTTAATTATTAAATAACTTATTTAAAAATTAATAAAATATATACCACATTTGCGTTTCTGTGAGGACCGAACATCCATTTGAACTTTGGCTTTTTCTCCGAGGCAGACATTTCGCTCAACGCAGGACTCGCGTGTTCCTTGAAGCTCTCGACGTTGCTCGTGTCGCCCTGAGATTTACTACCCGTATTGAGATTCGGCGTGTTTCGACCCGAGCTTGTTTCGTTCTTAGCGACAGCAAGAGCGATGCTGGATTCGTCGGCGACGCTTCTGCTCGTTTGAATGGGAGTGACGACGTTTGCTTGACCGACATTCGGCGCCTCGACTAAATTGACGTTGTCGCATAAATTGTTGTTCGTGACGTTCCCATTCTGCAGCTTCCTCGATCGATCGAGCGCCTTCGCCGGCGCCGATAACGGGCTACGATATTTCTTTCCCGTTACCGGCGACGTAGGGATGCCGGAGTAAGCCACGTTTAACGTTCTGCTCGCGTCGTATTCCTCCGGAACCTTGATCGAGATGGCGTCGTTACTCGAGTTTTCCACGTGCTTTGTTTTGAGAATGGGAATTTTGCTCGGTTTGAAGGCCCGATCGTTCTGCTCAGAATCGCCGCTGGCATCCAGATTCGGCGTGCAAGTTTCATCCGCCGTCACTCGGTCGAGAGGATCCATCCGTCCGTTATTCACCGACGCGTTTGAATTAGCGATATTCGTCGAATCACCTGGTACTATGTATTCTTCGACCTTTACCAAGTCCGGATTCGTATCAAGGTTCTTCTGTTTCGATACGTCTGGAAACACCTCGGCCGAGTTTAACGACGAGTTGAAAGGTAACGAGAGTGGAACTAATTGCGGGTCCGCTTCGATCGCTGGAAAGATAAAGATTCGTGTCCAAGATCTATTTTTTTCCAGAGTTTTAAACTTTTACAATTCGCTGCAATTCGAGAGAAAACAAATAGAAAAACGGAAAAATATTATTATATATTATTTATTAAATAAAATTTATTATTAATTAAAGAGCCTTAATAATGATATATAATAATATTATTATAATATATTATTAATAAAATATTATTAATATATTCCAAGGAATATATTAATAATATATTATTAATAATATTTTATATATATATGTATATATATATATATATATATATATATATATATATAATTTATTAACAATATTATATATAATATTATATAATATACATTATTAATAATATATTATTAATAATAATATTATATTATAATATTATATTATTATACATTATTACTAAGACTCTTTAATTCCCGACGATAACGTACGATTGTTGAATTGCTGGAAAAGAGCGGCCTTCTTGGAAAACGCTGCCGCGATGTGATATGGCGGCGGAGCTGGAGGAACGTCGCACGATTTCGGCACAACGTTTATCCGTGCTGTCTGCTTGCCGTCAGTCGCATCGACTGCCGCCTTGTAGGGTTCAATAAATTTGTCAGACTCTACTATCTTAGCCGTATTCGCCTTGGAATACTCGTCCGGTTTCCACGTGGAGTTGACGTAGTCGGATACCGTTGGCGTTTTCGCGATATACTCTGATGTGGGATTGCGAATGTACTTGGCCTCCCGGATATCCGGGCTCTTTTCCTTCGCCAACACGGTCTTGTTCGCCTCGTCGGACGATTCCTCGGAGACCGAGTGTTCTGCCGTTCCCGGTTCAACCGGTCTGTTGCTTTTACTGTAGCTTTTTGCCGTGTTACGATCGATAGAGATTATAGACGAAGGCGTGTTCTAGAAAAAAAGTGATCAGTATTGACAGCGACTAGATTAAACACACAATTCTTATCCTATTCAACGACTATTTGGATTGTTTTACTTTTTAAATCTATTGTCATATAATTATTATACATGGGGAGATATTGGGAGAGTGAAGAAGAAAGGAGATGCAGAATATGCGGAGAGAACGAAGAGGATTGGATACACATATTGAAGGAGTGCGAAGCGACAAGGGAAGAGATAGGAATCAAAGATTTAATGGAAGGAAATGGAGGAGGTTACGAGAAGATGAAGAGAATCAATGAAAGAAGAGAGGTGAGAAGAGGGACGAAAGAGGAAGAAGAAAATAAAATTAGTACACACGCACAAACACATAAACACATACACACACAGACAAACACATTAACAGTAAACAAAGAACAAATGTAAAGTACTGGAGGTGCCTCCTAAGCCGAAAGGCAAGGAGTACAATAAATAAATAATAAATATAATTATTATACAGGGTGTTTCAAACCACCCGTACCACCCATTTAAAAACTAGAGAAGTGGTTATTTCAAAAAAGTAAAAACATTTTCTTTATAAATCGGGTGCGCTCTATCGAATGGTGATATTTTCAACTTCTGTTTCCGACCGGAAATAGGCGATTCAGACCGGAAGTGCATTTTTTTAAATGGAACCGCCTATTTTTCATTGTATATTCTTGTAGCTTACCTCGAGAGCTTTTCAAAACACTATAATAAATTGTTTTTCCATGAAGTACTTTTCGAGTTATGAGGCTTGAAATCATTTCTTAATTTTACATAAACCATAAAATATCTTGTAAAATATTCATTTTTCGATTATCTTACCTTAATACTTTTATGTACAAAATAATGAGAGAAATCAATTGGTGTAAAGAAAACATACAGTTGTTTTTAAGAAAAAATATAGAATTGTTAATTGCAAATTAAAGCCTCATAACTCGAAAAGTACTTCATGGAAAAATAATTTATTATAGTGTTTTGGAAAGCTCTCGAGGTAAGCTACAAGAATATACAATGAAAAATAGGGGGTTCCATTTAAAACAATGCGGTCTGAATCGCCTATTTCCGGCCGGAACCAGAAGTTGAAAATATCACCATTCGATAGAGCGCACCCGATTTATAAAGAAAACGTTTTTACTGTTTTGAAATAACTACTTCTCTAGTTTTTAAATGGGTGGTACGGGTGATCTGAAACACCCTGTATATATTATACTATGTTACTAAAATTGTTTATAGTTAAACGATTTTAAAGTGTTTATTGTGAACAAATATTGTCTTGCTATCGTGAAACGACAAATAAATGACAGACTTACTCTTTGATCGTGAATGGACTGATGATGCAGATTACGAGCGTGCCTAGCAAGGTTGCGTAGCTCCTTGGGATAAGGGGTTGGTGCTCGATGAAGTTGTCTGGGGACTTCGGAATCTACCTCAGCAGCGAAACATATTCTCTTGCCGGTTCCGATGATTGAACTCGAAATCGGTCCTGTGGTCTGCGCCATTTCTATGGATCCGATTATTATAAATATAATATCCGAAAATTATAAATATATGATTAAACACACGATTAATAATGAAAAATTATTTGCTGGATATTCTTCATATTCGAAGATATTTCTTGATATTTTATATCAATTGGTATATATATATATCTCTCTCTCTCTCTCTCACCATTTCATTCCTCGTCTTCGTGTTCTTCTTCCACTAGTAGCGTGCACATAAATATTGCATCTTATCGTTACATGAATATAATGTCAAACGAAGCGTGCAATAGTGTAAACAAAGACAAGCAACTGCATCAATTTTGATATTTAATTTAATATAATGTAATAATTTAATTTAAATAATTATACACATGTATAAAAAACAAAGTCAATTATTTTTTATAAGTTATTGAAAAGAAATTTGAATGAATTTTTTTTAATAAGTACAAAATATGTGAGAATTTATACTAATTATAAATAAAAATATTAAACCAAACTATTTTTTTCACTCGTTCCAATATCCTTCATAGAAAAGAACAGATAGAAAACTCACGTTCCAGATCCTGCCGTGGTTTCTGGGGCAGCATGAAACAGCTCAGCACCATCATGTCCTCTTCACAGTTGAACTCTTGTTGCAGCGGCACTAACGGTTGACTCTGATTGTCGCTCAGCCACAACGCCTTCAGGTTGCTCAAATTGAGCATGGAGACCGGTAGAAACTTGATGCAGTTGTTGACAAGATTAAGCACCCGCAACGAGGACAAGTGGCCGAGCTCAGGCGGCACGCGAGTCAGATTGTTCGACCGCAGGGAGAGTAGGGACAACGCCGTGCAGCTGCCAATCTCGGCCGGCAACGCCCGCAGATAATTATTGTCCGCGTTGAGACAGTGCAGCTTGCGCAACAAGCCTATCGAAGATGGCAAGTACTCGAGAAAGTTCTTAGTGATTATAAGCTCCTCTAAGCTCGACATCTGGCCGATGTCGTTCGGCAGTGCGTTCAATTGATTGTCGTCGATCTTGAGGGTGACGATCGTGCGCAGGTAACACAGGGTGTCGGGCAGCTCGTACATCTCGTTCGAGGACAGATTCATGATCCCGATGTCGCGCCAGCCGCGTATCTCCAACGGGAGCGCGTGTATCGCATTCATCGTGCAGTCGAAGTGGTTCAAGCGATAGAGCTGCTCGACGTTCGCCGGGACACGCCTGATATCATTGCCATCGATCCACAATTCTGTGAGATTGATGAGATCCCCAACGACTTCAGGCTGTTACAAATAATACATACATTACTATCGCACCCTTATATACCCTCATATTTATACCCTCATATGCTTCTATGAAAGATGCAACATCAATTGGAATATTTTATAACAACAAAATAGAATTAATATAATTCCGTTTCTTAAATTTTTTTCTGCTAAAGTTTATTTTTGCTAATAATATATTTATCAATAAAACATCTTCATTAACTCTCTCTCTATTCTGTACAAATATTTAACTAAAATAAAATTTTATGATTTAAAACAACTATAATAATAAAGAAAAAAATAATACTGCATAATTTTACCCTGATACTTTATTCAGATAATTTAATTTTTATATAAATGAGGTATTCCAAATCTAAATTGGAAGAGAAAGAATTGATGACAGAATTATAAATTTCAAGTAGACTTCACTTTAATAGAATTTTAATATTGAATTTAGTTATAAAGACTTAATTTTTAATTTAATATTAAAAATAATAAAGCTTTAATAAATGTTTTTTTGCAAAATATTCTGCAATTTTTAAATATCTTACAAATAACATAAAAAAGCAAACAAGCAGAATTTTAGTTTACTAAGAAAATTATTCATAATCTTACCAACTCTGTGAAGTCATTGTTGCCGATATCGAGCCTCTGCAAGTTGACGAGACGGCTCATACTCTTAGGCAACGTCATCATATTATTCTCCCGCAGCTCGAGCGTCCTCAAGGCTGACAGTCGTCCAAAGTTAGCCGGTAAGTATTCTATATACGCGTCATTTATGTAAAGCTCGCGCAAACCAACGATATGCGTTATAGCGTCCGGAAAACGATCGAAGGGATTGACACTGATATCTATGGAGCGAAGACTCTTGCATTCTTTGATACTGTCTGGCAAGTCCTTTATACCTACGACAAAAATATTCGTGTAACAAAAATAACAAACCTAAAGAAATACAGATTAGACAAGTGTTTTTATAAAACCGAGAGTTTTGAAACATAACATAATGGTTCAATGAAAAAGTACTGACTGTTTTTACTGAGATCTAAGTGTTCCAGGTTGATTAACGACGCTATGGCGGGTGGTAACGTAGCAATCTCATTATCGCTAAGCGAGAGCACTCTCAACTCGTGGCACTGGAACAACGGCCTGGGAAGATCTTTTATCTGAAATAGAATCACCAGAAGGAGATATTAGGTATCGTCTGTCGTAATTAAACATACTCTATCTCTTTAATGAAGAATACCATTGAATACTCACTCTATTAGCGTCGAGATACAACTTTTCCAATGTTCTTTCGTAAATGAACACATCGGGTGGTACATCATAGAGATTACAGTGATTCAGTTGCAGCTCGCAAATATCCTCTTCCTGCGTTCTCAGACAAGCGGCGCACTGCCACCAAGCGCTACCCATTTCATGTGCGTACAGCTACATGGAAGACAATTGCATTAAGTATATTCTCATATTTTCATCCCGATTATTACTATCCAAAATAAAGAAGAGATGTACACAAATTTTTATATATTTAATATAATATTTATATATATTTAATTTATATTATTTATATATTATTTATATATTTAATTTATATTAAAATATTTAATATATTTAATATAATAATTTTATATATTTAATAACATTTTCTATATTAATGTCAAACTTTTATCTTTGCTTTCCATGAACGTCAGGAGCATCCGACACAAATTTTTATATATTTAGTATAATATTTATATATTTAATTTATATTATTTATATATTATTTAAATATTTAATTTATATTAATATATTTAATATATTTAACATAATAATTAATATAATAATTTTATACATTTAATATATGTTAATTTTATACATTTAGTATAATATTTTATACATTTAATATAATAATTAATATAATAATTTTACATATTTCATAACATTTTCTATATTAATGTCAAACTTTAATCTTCGCTTTTCATGAACATCAGGAACATCCAATGTCCCCAACCACGTAGCCTCATCAAAAAGCATACCTGTCAGACCTGTCAAGAGATACTTGGGGTGATCTACCTGTGTGGTGCTCTGAGGAACGATCTGACAATCCAAAGGCTCGACGCCGACGATCATCCGCGGGGACGAGGTGCCGCCGAGGGTCGCCCTGTCACCGCGTCCTGCCGTCGAGGCGACACAACGTAACGGCCGGGGATCGGCATCGCCGGCGATGGAGACGTCGTAGGGTGCTCGCGGTCGACCTGGTGAGGCTGAGGGAAGAAACGTCAAGAGGTGTCGCTCTTATTACGGCTCACGCTGATCAGTCGCGACGCCGGCGCTGCTCTTCCCATGCGCATATCTCACTCCCTCGTCATCGCGCGTCGTCGCCGCGGACAGCCCGGGGAAGCGAGAGACCCGATGCACGCGACTCCCTCCACCCTGCCTTCCTCTGCCGCCCTCGGGAGACCCCGCGTCCGCGAAATGGGACAAAGAACGCGTAACAAGCCCTCGTGAATCCTCTCCTCAACTGCCAGTGTTTTATCGGACGGGTTCTCTCTCTGTCGCGCATGCGCCTCGAATGGCGATGGCAGCGAAGTTAAATCGGAGAGAGGACTAAGAGATGTCATGACGTGCTTTTAAGTGAGACTCCCTCTATGAACATTGAAAACGTGGACATGAACTACGGAGCCAATGTTCATGAATGTTCTCAGAGGGTATAATGTGCACTTCAGGTTTCGTTCCGTGCTATGTGCACGAAATGCAGGTGGCACCAGAGTATAACAAGACACTTATGTATATAAATTGATAGTAAATAAATTATTCAATCATGAAAGATACTGTAATCTTCCAATGTAATGTTCAATGATGAAATAAATATTTTTCTATAATCATTGCCATATTTATATATTTTTATTTACAAAACACAAAATGCCTGCTGTGGAATAAAAACATTTTTAATCGTATTTATATAAATCTTAATTAGCAGTAAACTGATTAATTAGCAGTAAATTAATCTTTGACATTTATTAATCATTTTTTTATTAATCATATTTATTAATCATTTTTAATTATTTAAAAATTTAATTATTAATACATGCCCCAGGTAGAACATGAAACTCATAATGACATCATTATGACGTTATTATGATTTTATTTATTACTTAAAAGTTACTTAAGCAAAAATGATTAAAAAATAAGTTAAAGATGACAAAAAGAATTATAAATTTTTAAGTTCAATAATCGCATTATATAATTTTAAAAAGATTATGTTGCTTAAATATAATTAAAATATACATGCATAATTAAATAAACAAGTAATTGCGTAATATCCCCCATAGCAAAAAAGTCACAGTGATATCATAATGATATTGTTCTGTGACAATTAAATGCCACAATGAAATCACAACAAAGTCATGGTGACATGCAAATATCCCCTTTGTCACAAGTGATATCACTATGACATCATTGTAATATTAAATAAAATGTTATTGTGAGATAATTTACACACATACACACACACACATACAACAAAATGATCTTATATATATATATATATATATATATATATATATATATATATATATGTTTTTTAAAATAAATTTAATTTATTCCATAATTTACATTTTTGGTTTTTTAAATATACATACATATGTATATATATATATATATATATATATATATATATGGTTTTTTAAATATACATATGTATGTATATTTAAAAAATCAAAAATGTAGATCATGGAATAAATTAAATTTATTTTAAAAAACGTATATATATATATATATATATATATATACATATATAAATATATATGTATATGTATAAATATTACACTTAAGTGTGAGTCCAAGAAGCAGATTTCAGATATTCACTATAAGTCAGCCGCTCTTCGGGCGATCAGGATGAGATTTAAACGGTAATGCCGCGAAATGGTGTAGAATTTTATGCAAAAAGAACGAAATCGCTATCGCGTCCGGAAGTCGAGATATAAATTGGCCGTTTTTCGTATGCGCGCGAACGATCGAAATCGTGCACGACACCGCGCATGTTGCCTGCCTCTCTCGCGCGATATTCACTGTAACGCGGCGAGTAAAATGGCAAGCCAAATGCAATCGTTCGATTAATTGATTAAATACTTATATGTATCGAACGAAAAGATAAATCGGAATGCAATCGTTCGATTAATTAATTAAATACTTATATATATCGAATAAAAAAGCGAGTCGGAATGCAATCAGTCGAATAGTGAATTAAATACTTATATATACCAAACGAAAAGATGAATATTTTCTTTATGAATATTTCTTTATGAATATTTTCTTTATCTTAATTACTATTATGTAATCATTATACGTATACTTTCGATAATTTTTCGTGTAATTTACATAAGAATTTGCAATCGTAAATACAATTTCATATAATATAATTATAGTTATAATTGAATGGTATTTTACAAATAAAATATCAATGTTAGATTATAATTAAAATACAATTACAACTATTTATAATTTACAATTTACAATTTATAAATTTATGATGCTATCAATATCAAATAATAATATTCGATTTATTCAAATATTTAAATAACATTGATATAATAATTTGATATTGATAGCATTAACATTTGGATTTAATATTATATTTGATTTAATACACATATATTTTTAATGTTTATAATAAGGTTTATAAATGAAATATAACATGTTATGTTATGTTATTTCTTAAACGTTAATAATTATGCAATTTCTTTAATTTTTCTGAAGATAATTTTAATCATTTTCATTTTTAAAACATTTTTATTTTTAAAACATGTTATATTTATTTTTACAATGTTTTTAAAAATAAATTTAATTAAAATAATTTTAATTAGGATTATTGGAATATTAAAAGAAAGAATGAATCTTACTTAATAGCCTAAACAGCCTTAAGCTAAATAGCCCTAACAATCCTACTATTACAAAATTCTAATGATCTTAAGAGTCCTATCAACCCTAATATCAATAGAGGAATTCTAATGATTTTACTTAATAGCCTTAACAACCCTACTTCCTGATTAACTAAAATTATTCGAGATTTGAGGAACCTATCTCTAATCACCTCACCTAATCATGTATATATATTTTAGTCACGTACCCTAACCACGTGCCCTAACCGCATGCCCTAATCGCGTTCCCTAACTGCGTGCGTTAACCATATTCTTCAGGCCAGTTGAATCTACCTTTCGTTAATCCTGGCCACTTTCTTTCTCGATCTCTAATCAGAGATTGAAGCAGGAGATGATTACTCCTTCTTTTGCCGGATAATTACCGGCAAAAGAGCGTGAAATATTTACGCTCACTTAGTAACGATCGTTCGATTTCACGATCGCTCGTTAAATATTGAATATAACTTTATTTTAACTAAAATAAAGCCAAATTACTACAAATTTCTATAAATTATATTTTATAATAAAATATATAATAAATGTGTGTATATTTATCATATTACAAATTATTTAATTAATTAATCATTTGGCTTTATATTAAGTTAAAGTAAAGTTTAAAAACAATATCTACAAACAAATTCTACGATGGATGAGCTATGAGCAATTAGAAAATAAGTGCATATTATAAGAATAAATTAGCATCAAAAATTGATAAAATTAATAATTGTTAATGGGTGTCCTTTATTTAATAAATTAGATAAAATCTTTACAAAAAAATCTTTTCTTGATCTCTTCTTTTTTTAATTAATATTTCAATATATTTTCACAATAGATGTAAAGCATAAGTTCGAAAGAACTTATTAAAATTATTTAATTTAATTAATTTAATTAAATTATTTAATTTAATTAATTTAATTAAATTATTTAATTTAATTTATTTAATTTAATCCATCCTAGCTCATCCATTTTAAGGCAACGGATTTATCTACAATCTACAATCTACATCTACATCTGCAATCTCAACACAGAGAAAAATATAATATTCTACTGCCAAGAAAGACGATTATTTAGTTTATTTTTCTTCTTTTAAGTAATAGTTTTCTTCAACAAAGAATATATTCTTGATAATAGTCTTAAAATATACTCATCACAAGTGTTAGAAAATCTCATTATCATGTACTCAAAGAAGAATTAATTTTCTCTTCAAGAATATTGTAAAGCTGTATCAAAGAAAAATCAAACTTATTTTACGTCAACTCTTGTACAGGTAAATAAGCAAATCAAATTTTTGTTTTAATTTAATATTCTTGATTAAAATACTGCACTTATTAAAATTCAGAATATATTCAATTAAATTTAATGCTTGTGGTAAACTTATGATGTATTTGCGGATATACAAACTTATAATATACTTAAAATAAATAATATTTACTTGAATACAATATACATTTTTCTCTGTGTACGAATCCGTTACCTTAAAATAAAATAACATTTTTTTCACTCACCGGCACTGATGCGCAACAGCGGAGTTGTTATCGAAGCTAGTTGTCTGTAACATACAAATATAAAATTCATTTATAATAATGCTCACAAAATGCAATTAATGTTTAAAAAAATGTTTATCGCGCGGAATTTTATATCCGATGTGTAAAATAATAAGCAGATAAACATGTATGGAAAAATTTTATAAATTTTCGAAACTGTTTTTTAAATAGAAAATTTTATATGACTTTCATAAAAATCTTTCTCTTTCATTTAAATAATAAGATCAAATTATTATTTGTTTATAACAAGTTAACGATTTATAACAATTAATATATAAATAATAATATTCACCATCAGGTTGTTCCGCCGGTGCAGGATGCCTCTCCTAGGCCTCCTCCTCCTCTCATGTTGTTGATGCGCGATACTTTTAACGACACTCCCGCACTCGCGAGCGATATTTTTATATCGCTATTTTCGTTATTTTACGCGCGATACTGAACGGCACTCCCGCACTATTTCGATGCGATTAAAAATTTTATATTTGATCACGCGATGTATATACTTAATATGTATATACCTTTAACGGCACTCCCTAATATGTATATACCTAACGCGACGCGTTGACGAAGCGCTTACCGTCCGCGGCACGTTGACGGCACCAACGACGCGAAAGGGTACTTAGCTTCCCATTCAAGCACCTTAAGATTTATCGTAAATAGAAAAATTTATGATAAACCTCAAGGCACCATCCAAGTACTAAGCCCTCCCACCACGACAAGGTGTACCCTATGGGAGGGTTATATTATATATAATTTTATATATAATATAATACATAATTTAAAATATATTTTGTAATATAGTACATAAGACGCGCGTCCGCACAACTTGATAGCTGGCCTCGGACTATCTGGCAGTCATTGTTTAACAACATCTTGACAACGCGCACGGAAATGATCTTCTTCCGTCGACTGACTTTCTGCCGAAAGAATAGGTGGCGAATACATTCAGGGGGATGAGACACGAGAACGTAACAATATAATAAATAATTAATGTAATAAATAATTATAATATTAATGACTTACATCATATCTTATTGATCCATCCATCTGTTTCCAAGACCTTCTTTTTTACTTTTGTTTCACTTTTTCCTCGTGGCACTCCAATCCTCGTTGCACTCATTTGAATTCCTCGTTGCACTTACGTTCATTCACGAAAAGTTCCTCGTTGCATTTGTAATTGTGGTTAGAGAAAGAATTTGATAATATATGGAACGTCTCACATCACTACGTCACTACTCGAGAGTCACTGATCGAATGATCGTAAGTCAGAAATATTACCGCGGTACTGTTTACATCGCCAAGATTGACTATGTAGAGAGAGAATTTGATAATATATGAAACGTCACTACTTTATTGTTCGAGGTTACTGTGCGAATGATCGTAAGTCATAAATCTTACCTCGATACTGTTTATATCGCCAAGGCCGACTTATACTATGTTATTGTTATAATTCGTCGTTGAAATATTCTATGAGTGATTACCGATTAAGAAAATTTAAAACATTGGTCGAAATTTATTTAATTTTAATAAGTATCGTTAGAGAAATTATTATAATAAGCATCAATAATCAAAAGATCATAATAAAATTAATTTCTTTATCCTCTTTTATGTTCCCTTTTTCAATTTTTATTCACTGTAATTAATGATTGCGATTCGATAAAGATTTATCGTTGCGATACATTTTCATAACGTTTATGATAAGTTAATTTATTTGTAATTATTAGTAATTATATTAAATTATATTTTGATACTAATCGTAATCATGTTTAGAAAAAAAATTCGACAATATACAAAGCGTTTCGCACCACTACTTTATCGCTCGAGTATCACCATGCGAATGATAATAAAGCCGTAACATATTAACAATAGCGCGCTATTATTTATATTGCCAAAATCGAACACTGTGTTATCAATAATTCGTTGTCGAAATATTTTACGGATTATAACATATACTGTTATACATGAAAATTGTATCTATAAATTGTAAAAGTTTTTCAATTTATAGATTAATTAAATGATTATTTATTAAATAATTAATTAACATACGAAGCATTTCCCGTTACTTTACTGCTCGAATATCACCGAACAAGTGATAGCAAAACCGTAACGTACAAACAATAATACACTATTGTTTATGTCATCAAAGTCGAACATAATGTTATTGATAATTCGTTGTCGAATTTATCCGATCTTACAATAAATATCTCCAATTTTCAACAGGGCATCGAACTAGACGTCGTGAATGGATCTCATAAGAACCAATAAGAAATAATTCTCCATGATGAAAATCGTTTCGACTCCTCAGCGATACGGGCCACGCAACTTTCATTAATGTTTATTTAAAAGGAACAACGATAATTCTTTTATTAAATCTCGTCTAAAAACGCGAAAAGAACGCGGAAAAAACCCGGTGTTTTTTTAACTGTAATTTATTTATGAATATTTTCCGATATGAAATTGGTAAATATAAATATAACTGAAAAAACAAATTATTAAATTCATAATAATTAACTCGCGATTCTATAATATTAGCTTATTTATCAGGAATTTGTATTTATTGTGTGTTTATATATTTATAATTTGATTAGAGTATCAATAATTTTTAAGATTTTCAGATTTTAAAGTTTTTTTATGTAATTTAATCTTCTTTACCAGCTTCTTAATTGAAGTTTTTCCTGATGATTTTTTAATGATTTTTAATGATTTTTAATAATATTTTATTCGACACAGTTTTTTTGTCCATAGAACATATAAAACATAGAAAAATGATAAGACATAATTAACAAATCTGAATCAAATCTAATTCAAGTTCAAGACATAGAATGTAGGACATAAAGTGATAATTACATAATAATTAACGTAAGCAAACGTAGGTGAAGGTCTGGATAGGTCTAGGAATTTAAGTTTTGCATATTTATACGATGATATGCATTTATTACATCGTAGTACATCTTTTTTCTTCCACAGACTGTAAAATGTAATAACATATATCTGACAAGTTTTCCTTCTTATTACCAAAGAAAGATATATTTAATTTTATTCCACGAGGTCTCACTGATAGAAGAAGGTGGAGAATGATTTGAAGAGGATGTCGGTTGGACTGGAAAAGGAAGGCAAGGAATAGAGATGTGTGGAAGAACATAGTGTTACAGGCTAAGGCTCACCCTGAGCTGTGATGCCATTGGAAGAAAAAGAAGAATTATTTTAAATATACTTTTAATAATATTTAATTATATTATAATATATATTAAATAATTTTATACGATATATTCTACAACTATTTCTGAAATAAAAAAATAATTTATAAGAATGCAATTTATAGTACTTCATCACGCCACGTTTCCATGCCGTAACTATCATAACTTTAACAACAATCAATTAGTATAGTCAGTTTATATAGTCAGAAGCAAATGTATTATTAAAACACTCGTATTATTCCTTTTCCATAACTGACCAATCTCACTAGACTGTTAAAGTTTTCCAATCAACCTTTTACGGGTTCATTTATCACTGGTGAAATTGGATATAGAAAATTTTAATTTAGCAAAATTTCATATTAATAAATTCGTATAGATTTAGCAAAATTTCATATTAATAAATTCGTATGCATTTATCTTATTGTTTAATTTAATTTATGTAGAAGTTTAAGAAACATAGAATAATACTTTATAATTGTATAATAAACTCTTTTGATATTATTCGAGATAACGTAAATTGTTTAATTTATCTTTGTTATTAAAAGAATTGTATACAATATTAATTGTTTAATTTATCTTTGATATTAAAAAAATTGTATACAATATTAAATGTATGAAGTAACTTTTATATATAAAATTTATATATAAAATCCATAAAACCCAACCATAATTATAATTACATTGTCAGAATCATAGTGATAAATTACATTAAAATATTCTCTTATGATATATGCATTTATTTGACGTAACAACGTACTTATAAATGGTCTGCAAGTCACGCGCGGCAGTGATTCGGAATAATCAGTTATCCCCTTCCCCTCCAACTGTTTCGCAGTCTCTTGGTAAATGTATACGTATTCGGCATTGTACCCCCCTCCCCTAAATATCTACAAATAATCCCGAAGATACGTCAGATATGCTACATAAATAGAAATGTAAGAAAATATTATTCAGATTAATTATGAAAAATATATTAATGTAAATAATTCAAATGAGCATCGATTTGAGAAACAGTTATATCAACTCATTGAATTATTACAAAGTCGTTTGTAATACACTGGCTCTAAATGTAATATGGAAATAAGAAAACATTTAAACTTTATCAAAAGTATATATAGTTATTATAATAAAAGTACATATCATAAAAATATCGACAGAAAATTGCGTTAGCAACGCTGTAAGATATTAATGACATATAACATTATAGTGAATGACATATAACATTATAGTATATGTAATTTAACCGTATTTTGAATAGTGACAGGTTAAATAATATATAAAGTAAATTAAATAATAAAATTAGCTAAATCTTAACATATGGAATGGAGACATTTAAATAGCAATATTATTGTTTGTTATTGGTTCAGGTTTATCTTTATTTCTTTTTATTACTAGATAGAATCATTACAGAGAAAACGGGTACAGTTCTCTCTTCTTATTCATATTTTTATAATTTACAATGCTTCGTTAATAAGTGATACTACTTTGTCATTGTCCATTATTGTGATATGAGTACCTTCCACATAATGTATTTGTACTGCACTTTCGGTAACCTAAAAATATTTTTTATTTATAAAAATAATCTTAAAAATGACAAAATATTACGCTCTAATCAAATTTACCTTATGTACACCATAATCTTCTTCAGTAAAAGTAGACGCAAGTGTGGGTTTTAATAAGGTTATAGATGATTTAAGACGTGGCAATGATGTTATATTATAATCTTGTATAGCGATTATATGATCATATATCGTCGACCATAACAATTTCTGATTTTCAACAGTTAATTCATTGATATCCTTCGAAAAGCTTGCAGTAAATAGTTCTAATTTCTCTTCCCACGTATTGCACTTATTTAGTTCTAATTTAAACTGTAAATAATAATATTGTATTAGTACAAAAAAATGGCAATCTGCATTTTAAACTGAAATAAAATAAGTAAATGTTTAGTTTAGCTTATACAGTTCAACAAATTTTTATTTTTACATATGTTGTAGAGAATATTTCCTAAGTAATATACCATTTGAATTTTGTGGCGATTTCTCCTTGTTCCTGAGATATACGATTTTGAAATTTTATATTTACTTGTATCATCTTTTTGTTACATTCTAAATATGTTTCTAAATATTTATATTTTTCTGTTTACATTTACCGAGGTCTTCCTGAATAATTTTCAGAAGGTTTTAGCCGCTTTATTTATTAAATAGTTATTAACAAAAAGTTTCATGAATAGAATATAATTTTACCACGTCATATATGTTTAAGGAGAAATATATTTAATAGAATATATGTATTTGTAAATTTTGTTTTGTCTTGCAAAGTACATGCGTGGGCACCGTGTGTTCTGTCCCCCCTCTTCCCTATGGGGGGGCTCCACTTTCGGATGAAACCTATAACCTTATTTAACCTTATCTGTGTCTGTGAAGTGTAAGGAAATATCTTATTTTAACATATGACATTTCGCTTCACATGGTTCATATGGTTCATGAGTTTATATAAGTTTGTAACTTTCTATGCAAAGCTAGATATATTCCATAATTCAGACACGAATTGAATTAGATCTTCCGAAAATGGAGCCCCCGTAGAGACGAGCGGAACACACGATATCCACGCGTGTACTTTGCAAAACGAAGAAAGTTACATACAAAGTTTGTATTACAAACACTTATTAAATGTTACACTGGCTTCAAGATTTTTAGCGAAACTAAACAATAATTCTATAGTTTAGCGACATAAAAGCGATAACGAGCAAACGTAAACAAAAAAATATAAACACATAAGTAAACTGTATATAATAAAACCGTGATGAGCAAATGTAAACACAGAAATAGAAACGTGAAAGGATGACATAAAAGTATGAAACTTCAAAAGTGCACATCCCAAAAACGAAAAGAGATTACCGCAAAATTCAAACGGTGTATTACTTAGAAATGTATCTTCTGTAACATACGTGCAAATAAAAATTTTTCTAGCTAACCTAAAGTAAACATTTATAATAAAATAATATGCTTGTATTATATTATGTTATTTCATATAATTTAAATTATCATATAATTTAAATTACGTAAGAAGTTAAAGAAATTTTACAAAATCTTTGTAATTTAGAGTATATAAAATAATATAATAAAATAATCAAATAAAAAATTTAGCTTATTTTATAATTTTAAAGCATATTCTAACAAATTATTTCAAAATTTGTCCTCTTATTCTATTAACTATATACTATTCTATTAACTATACATATATATTTTTAATAATTGACTAACCGTTTCAATATTAGAGTTAAGATACAATTGGATTAAAAAAAGTAAAACATCATTTTGTAACTCTTGTTCTGTAGTATGAGATAAAGATTTCTTAAGCAAGAATTTTATTTGATCAGGAGCTCCATCTATAAGTATTAAACGTCCGGAGAAATTCTCAGCTTCTAATAATCTCGCTAATTCAATGGCAATTAAAGATCCAAATGAATAACCGATAATTATAAATTCTTTTCGACTTTGTATTTTCTCCAATACGTGCTGAAAAAATAAGCAAACATGTAGAAAACTATATGTAAAAATGGCGCGCATGTATTTTATTTAAATAATGATTTCAAACAAATTATAGTATAATTTCGTACAGGTAGAAGATATGCTGCTGATTTCATTACTGAACGAGTAACACCCGGCATATTAAGTACACCATGTTGCAAACATATCGCCGAAGATTTAATTTTCGATCCTATCAGTTTATATACACTTGCACACCCGTCGATTCCTGGTATAAGGAATATTTCACTCCCAGCAACTTTCCTCTCTGTATCGAGTTTAACATAAATGTCTGGACTCAAGTCTGAATCGTTAAGTTTTCGAGTCAATGTTTTTAAACCGTCCAAACTATTTACATTAGCTTCGGTTTCATCTTTTCGATATATCTTTCCTTGTTCAGATGTATTTGTCAATTTTCTAAGTTTTGCAAAAGTGAGATTTCGAATATCTTGTGCCGTCAATAAAATATCGAATTCTGTCTCCAATCTCTGTTTAATCTCAACTGCCATCATTGAATCCATGCCTAGTTCAGCCAGTGACATGTTTGGTGCCGCCATGTTTGGATTCTTCAATCCTATTTTAAAATTAAAGAAAGAATTAAATATTTACACATGATTAATCAGATCTTATCTAATCTTGAAACTGCAATATAAGAATTATTAAAATTTATATTTTTTGCAATAAAAATTTATTTTGTATAAGCGAATCTTTTACATAATATATACTTAATAAATTTACCCAAAATGTTTACAACCGCTTCAAATGGATTTGTTGCTTCGCCAGAATCTTTTTTTTTCTCAGCAACAACCATGCTGCTTACAATTGACCGATCTTGTAGCAAGAACGCTTCTAATGTGTCCAAGCAGGAGGATATTTCTTGTAGCAATGTACCACCAATAACAAGTTCTTTGTCATCTTCTTGCATATCTGCGACAAGTCCTACGTCACCAATCGCGCCCCACTGTATAGCCAAACCATGTAAACCTTCTTTCATTCTTCTTTCACAAATTCTTTCCATTACGGAATTTGCCATTCCATAATTTGTTTGGCCCGCGTTACCTCTTCCACATGAAACGGAAGAAAAAACAACAAAATGTCGGAGCTGAAGACAAATTGTTCTTGATAATTCGTCCATCCTTTTCGTCGTCCATGCCTTTGATATAAAAGAATCTTCGAATGCTTGTGGGGACTGATTCTTGAATATGTCATCTTTCAACACAACTGCGAGATTGAATATAGCATCCACGGGACCTTGTTCTTCGGCAAATTGCAATATAGATTTACAGTCTTCGTATTTCGAAATATCAGCAGATGTAACGATTTGAACATTCACACCGTAAGATTGCCATAACGTTATTCTTGATTGCTGATAACCATTTTTTATCCCAGTTCGCGAAGTTAATACTAAATTTCTTGCGCCACGTAAAATTAACCAATCAATTAATTCTAGACCGAAGCCACCTAGACCACCTATAACGATGTAGCATTTGTGTTCCAGGCAATAATACCGGGGATGTGCAAGTATAGGTGCTTCCAGTTCAACTTCTTTTTGAACTTTTATCATTATCTGTAAATAATATTACATTATATTTTGAAGTATCAGGAAGAGGAAAAAAGAAGAACATACAAAAGGCAAGAAGCTATTAGAAAAAATGAATATTACAGATAAGAACCTATAAAAATGAATAAATTATCAAATAAAATGTATTTGTAAAGAGATTTAAAAGAGTTGATAAAAAATCTTTAAAAAAAGGAGAGTTTTTCCAAATGAACATTGTATAGGAATTAAGATAATTAATTGGGATCAGGCGTGGGATCGCTCCCAAATGGGAATCGATACGCGGAAAGCGTAAAAGAATCAGAGTTGTTCTATGTATAAGAGTCACAAATATGTACTTACAATGTTCATGAAATTTGATTATTCACGCGACAGTCAATTGATATTACGCGGACCGTTGGAAAATATTTCTTTCGCACATGCTCTCGAATTTCTCCCCGGTGCTACGATAGCCAAGATAACAGAGAATCCGCATACGCGGCGAGGAAGATTTCACTTTCCTTATTTGACCACGCGCGGGACCAACAAGACGAAACTCGCCTTCGATTTGCGACTTTAATTACACGCGAATTTAATTACACACAAATGTGAAACTCTCACAGCAAATTTCATTCGCGGTACTTCGAGAAAACAACCACCGAGGAGCGGCGCGATGTTGGAGCAACAAACGGCGGAACAAGAAGAAGGCACGCAAGTCGGAGCAGAAGGAGGAAGCTTTCTTCCTGCTTACATGGACCAATTAATTGTTGACGCGTTATAAATCGTTTGAGGATTGGCAGATCGATAGATCCTGTGCGCCGGAATTAGGCGCAAGCTCGCAGTTAGAGTATGGCGCCAGAACTTTTCAGTGAACGCGAAGGAATGGCGCTTAATTGTATGTATCGCGATAAGAATGATGGAGTTTTCGGAGAAGTCGCGCGAGCATCTGAGGATTTCGTGATCGATAGATAAGTTCCGCGATCTAGATTCTGGTCGGAACATACGGAACAAACATAAAGAGAAAAGAAGCATAATGGATAACTTTTACATATTACAACATAGTTAAGAAGATACATCAGAAAAAGCTATTTAATTTTGTTATTTTAAAATCTCTTGATAATAATACTTAATGTGAAAATACTTAATGTGAAATACTTAATCTGAAAAGTTCGCGTCACAACTTACGTTGAATTTTAAATTTTAATTAAGGAAAATAGACAGAAGTATTCGTACATTAAGAAACCATCATACCTTTCCAATATGCTTTCCAGCAGCCATATATCTAAAAGCAGTTTCTATTTCATGCTTTTCAAAAACTTTTCTGCATAACGGTTTGATGGCGCCATTCTTTAAGCCTTCCATTAACTTGTTCCGTAGTATTGCCTTACTCTCTGGTTCTGCAGAAAATAACTTATCCAATAAGATGCCATGAAAACTAATACCTTTTGAAAATGCAAATATTTCTAGAGGATTATTGGAGACCATATCAAACTTTCCAATCTCGAGAAAACGACCACCCTTTGCTAAGCAACGGACGGACGCTTGTAGTTTCTCTTCAGCTAAAGAATTTAATACGATATTCACTCCGCGACCTTTTGTTCCCTGAATAATCATTTGTTCGAAGCTCGTATCACGAGAGTTTCCAATGTGATCCTCGGGAATAGAAGGAAACGTTTTTCTTATAAAGTCTCGTTTTTCGATACTCCCAACCGTCGTAAACACTTCGCAACCCTCGTAAAGGGCAAGATAAATGGCAGCTTGACCAACACCTCCCGTACCAGAGTGAATCAATATTTTGTCGTCTTTTTTCATTTTACCATTCAAATACAAAGCGTAATAACACGTGCCATATACACAAGGAACCGTCGCAGCGTCTTCCATCGTCCACATGTCAGGTATGATCCAACTAAGATATTTGTCAGTTATGAGAATATTTGTCATTCCTCTGAAAATAATATAATTTAGAAAATCATATAAAAATATATTATGTTAAAATTAAGTCAAAGAAATATTTTTTAAATATTTTTTGTGAATAATATGTAAAGATTAGGTAAAGAATGAAAAGAAGCATGTAAAATATAGCAATTTTTTCATTTTTTACTTCATCGAAAACGTTTCTAATTTAAATATACAAAATTTATTTTATTAAGAATATACGTTTAGAATATTCGTTTATTTTTATTAAGAATATACACATTAAGATTCTATTCACATACATATTAAGATTTTATCAAGTTTTTATCTAATATTCGCTTACCCTGTTGAACATAATCCCATTATTCTTTGCCCAGTTTTATTAAAACCAGCAAATTCCATTCCAATTAAAGAATTATTATTTCGTTCGGTTGTAATAGATTCAATGGCGAGTCTACCGCTAGCTATCATGACATCTCTAAAATTGATAGATGCATAAACTACTCTTACTAGATTTTCTTTATTATTGTTAACGAAAGATATCCTACTTTGCATCCAACAAAGAGTACTCAGATCACCTCGCACCTAAAATAAATAAATATAACAAGTTATTTTAAGCTTCTTAAAATTACAATAAAAAACTATTTCTTAATTTATTAAGGGAATTATCACTATTTTCCTAAATATAAAAATCCGAATCTTCTTAAAATCGTACCATTTGAGAAACATAAGCATTCTGTACGAGTTTTGGTTCTAATAATGATAATGGAAAATGTCTGTAGGATCCCCAAATGCCGGAACGTATAACATTGATGGGTAAATCCAGTTGTAGCTGCCTCATATATAACGATTCTTGCAATGAAAAAGCAGGCGCATCTCCATCTTGAATAAATACACTTCTAATCATTTCACCACCCGGTTCTTTTCGCAAACAATTGACAAGGCCGAGTAGACCGCATTCGAAGTCCCCTTCTGCGACGATTATAATCCTCGTATTTATGTTGTCATTTTCCACGTTCATGAATGATTTAATCTCATTTATCCACGAAAATTCGTAATTATTTACATGCACAATCTGCTGATTCGTCTTAAAATCTTGTATTTTTCTTAATAATATAATTGTCTTATCATTGGTGCGTTTTTCCAAAATTACTTTTAATCCATATTTGTCCAGACATGAGTAATCGTAAATAGCATCTAACTCTTCCAATGTCAGAAGAAATCCTCTTGGCATTATGGCAGACAACAATTGTTCGTATAAATCGTTTCTATTTTTTGTTAAAATTCCGAAACCTATAATCATCAAACAATTTTCATTTTTCGTCAGTTTATCAAATTCCATCGTAGAAATATTGTCGGGCAAAGAAATATCTTTGAATCGTTCGTTACTCGTTACTATTTTGATATTGTAACAAATTTGCGGTAAGTCGTCTAAAATTTTATAAACATGTAAAGAATTTAAATTCTCCGGCATCACTTCGTCGCTACTTTCGATAAATTCAATGATTTTTACGTTTATCATGTTATGGCACTCAAGTGCAACGTGCACCGACATTCTTATTGCATCTTGCAAAGATGTCATATTCAAATCTCGATGAGCAACAAACTTGTACTCTTCAAAAACGGGGTTGGCTACATTTTGTCGACGAGATATAGCTGTAGCTACGAGACCATGTATTTCTATTCCTCCAGATATCAAAACATCTAAGTGCTTATAATTTTGTACAAGGACTTCTGCGGATATAAAGACAATATAATAGCATATCAAGTATATATTTTTCGAAAAATAATATTCGATTAAATACGTATATAGTTTATAATTCTGTAATACTTACGTTTTTTTTTATTTGAAAGTTTTTCAATATATTTTATGTGAGATTTTGGATCGATTACCGCTTTACGAATTTTTGTTGGTACAAAAAGGCTTCTCGAATCCTGCCCTAAAATCATCATCTGTAATATATTGTCCATAAACGTTACCCAATTGTCAGTCCAGGCAATATGACCATTCTTTCCTGTGATTGACGCGCTTCTTAATCCACGAAATTCGTTGGTATATTGATAACCACGAAGTTTCAATTCTTTGTAAATATCTTTTATATTCATCTCCTCTTTGTCATTGTCATTTCGATCAACAAATGTGCTACATATTTTTTCGTCTTCAATATTGATTGGAATTCGTACTGTTCCAGTGACGACAGGACTGTCCCCTTCGATTATTTCAAATTTGCAACTATCTATAAGAATACGATTATCAATTTCTTGTATGAATATTTAATTTATAAACGGAAATTCTATTCTATCTTTATATGTTTTATAAAGAAATTCTATACTATGTGTCATAAAGAGTGGATGTTTTTAACAAAGAATAAATTCCAGCTGGCCTTCAATTGTGGAAAGTAAATACCAATCATAGTACACAATTTGCAAGTTAAATAAATAAAAATAAATTTTTATTTTAATAAAAGTGTTCCTATAGCATTATTAATGGTCAGATAAGTGCTACTTCTGATATGCATTTGCGTAAAAAACTTAGTTATATTGGGTAACCAATAATTTTAATAAATTACAGAAAATTAACTTAGCTATGGTATCTTTAAATTGCAATCTTTCGAGCATAGATTTTTAGCATTACATTAATTAAAATAGCAAAGATAAAAATAAAAATGATATGTATAAAGATCAAACAAATCAACAAAATTAACAAAACATTTTTTACTGTAAACTGACAGCAGAAATTTAGAGATAAAGATTTCTTCATAATGTTTACTTTTTTAACAGAATACAAGCTTAATACAGTACTAATATATTGCAATTCTTGGTCGAATCTGCTGCTTTATTGACAAACTGTCAATAATTTGTTTATTAGATACAAATATTTTCTTAATATATTTTTTTCAATTGAATTTTTCACTTATTCATATTTTATATCTTAAAAAATTTTTATCTCTTTATATATCTATATCACATTATTTTAATTGTATCAGTTACCCTTTTGGATCATAAGAGTTAAATTGACTAGATTTTGCTTCGACAGAACTGTAGAACGTAGGAAATTGACATTTTCAAATACAATTGGTATATCGAGATGATTTCGCTTTTTCAACCAGCCGATCATTTGCCATATCAGGAAAAGATATCCTGTAGCCGGTAATAAATTTTTTCTATTAACGACATGCCCGGTCATATATGTAAATTCATCATCTAATAAATTAATGGTAACAATTGCTTCCCCAATGTCAAGTTTTCTTTGTGCAATATAACGGTATGCATACCAATCTTCGGAATGATCCCATCTGTAAAACATGTCATTAATTTTACAATATAACAGCGTTATTAATGTTTAACGTCATTAAAAATAATGCATTTTATTTTTTTGTTTTTAAAATTCTGCTGTTTTACTGTAATAAACATAACGTTGAAAAATCTTATATTAAGCAAAATTTAAAATCTTATATTAAGCAAAATTTACCTTATAAGATGAGAAATCATCGGTGTATTACGACTCACAGGGAACTTAACTTCCGGATATAAATTTGCGATTTGCAGCTGTAATCCTGCATTATAAAGTTTTCCAATTCCATGTAAGAATATTTCAACGTCGGATTTGTGAGAGAATTTGTATAACGCGACATTTGTCACAGATGCCTTTAATGAATCGTTAAGAATGTATTGTAAAATGTCATGCGGCGCTATCTCAATCGTCACCGCGTCGTTTGGAATAAAACGCACAGCTTCTGAAAATACTACCGGGGTTAACAGATTATTTGTATAATATTTTGCTAGATACGAGGTATTTGAAGATGTGCTGAACCATTCATAAGATTTATTCAACATGTTCAACCACTTTGAGCTCGGAGAGATTTTCTGTGGCAATATCTGATTCAAGTATTCCAAAAGTTTAACTCTTGCAGGCTCGACGTAACGACTATGAAAAGGTACATGTCCACAGGAAATTTCTTTTACAGAAACGTTGTCATTCTAAACAGAAATAAATTTTTTTAAATAAATTATTTATTTAATCGAACGTAATTAAAAGCATAGATATATTATTTGTACTTTTTAAATGTTTCCAAACCTGTAGCTTAGCGAGGAATGCTCTTATAGAGCTTGTTGGTCCACTCACAATATAATTATGCGAACTATTGTAACAAACTATATCGATATCCGATGGACACATATTTTTCATAGTTTTAAAATCTAAATTAATTTCAGCCATCAAGCCATCTATTATTTTTGACTTAAGAAATGCTAAACCTACATAATAAGCCATCATGATGGTTTCTTCGGCCGTCAAACATCCATCGGCATATCCACAAACCAATTCACCAATAGAATGACCCATTATAATATCAGGAGTGATACCAATACTTATTAAGAGATCAACTATTCCGATCTGTAATATACATATTTTTTTATAAATTTCAACATTAACATTTTCTATTTTTCTTTTAAATAAAATAATATTTTAAAATATTACTACAAATTTAACTTTCTGCATACAATTATGTAATATATGAAAGACTCTTTTCAATTTTATTTTATGTACAAAAATTTTGAATTTTTATGAAATATTAATTTTTTTAAAGATACGGCGCTTCACACACATTAGATAATACAAAATAATTCCACGATATATATAGACAACATATTTTTGTTCATACCTGTAATCCAATAAGGCCTACAAATAAGTTGATTACGTTATTGAGAATATATTTGTCTTTATTTATTAAAATATCTGTGACAAATACATCATAAGGTTTCAAAACAGTATCGCATTTTTGGATTGCTTTAGCGAATACTGGAAATTCCATTAAAGCTCGACCTATATACAGGGTGAATCATAATGGTTGTAACAACCTTTTATCATTAGAGATCAATTACCGACTGCAACTGTAATCAATTGAATGATTCATAGATGACAGCTGCTTGGATCGACCGTGTCTGCAGTAACGTACAAGCGAGTTAAATACTGTGAATTAAATAATATACATATTCCATGCATACTTTTCTAATATATTTAACTTTTTTATGTACATATTTTTCTTTCTACACGGTTTTTTTCTAATAACGTGATTTCTTATTATTATGAAACGTATCTGCCACATAAAAAGAGATATCTTTTGCATTCGTGTATTTTTTAATACGATTTTTTTTTAAATAATGATTTTTTAATACATAGAATTTGACGGCGATTTTTTTCATTCTTACACAAATCATTTTAACGCGTAAAAAGAGTTGGATTGGTAAAGATACAAAAGTATTCTTTTTTTATTAAAAAAATGCGTAATTCTGCTTTCTACAAGAATTATTCTACTTATTATTAATTTTCTAAGTTATAACTTTTACATTCTTAATATCTACAGCAGAATATTTCTTGTAGAAAGTAGAATTACGCATTTTTTTTTATAAAAAAGGAATACTTTTGTATCGTTTACCAATCCAACTCTTTTTACACGTTAAAATGATTTGTGTAAGAATGGAAAAAATCGCCGTCAAATTCTATGTATTAAAATACCATTATTTAAAAAAAATCGTATTAAAAAATACACGAATGCAAAAGATATCTCTTTTTATGTGGCAGATACGTTTCACAATAATAAGAAATCGCGTTATTAGAAAAAAACCGTGTAGAAAGAAAAATATGTACATAAAAGAGTTAAATATATTAGAAAAGTATGCATAGAATATGTATATTATTTGATTCACAGTATTTAACTCGCTTGTATGTTACTGCAGACACGGTCGATCCAAGCAGCTGTCATCTATGAATTATTCGATTGATTACAGTTGCAGTCGATAATTGATTTCTAATGGTAAAAGGTTGTTACAACCATTATGATTCACCCTGTATATATGTATCAATATTTATGTATCAATATTTAAAAAATATATATATGTATCAATATTTAAAAACATATAATTATATTACATACGACGTTGTCGATAATTATTTTAAATAATGTAATATTTTTACATAATTATTCTAAACATACATAAATGAGAAATCGCTTATCTTTGTTTTGCATATGCTTTCTATAGTATCATTATTATATTTTAGTTTAGTATTATATAGTTTATATCAAAGGATAGACTTTTTACATCTAAATGTAACTTAAACAATTATTTAATAAAAATTTATTAACTGGAAATATTATAATTGCTTATAATTTTATTGTTTATAAGAATATATATGTATAATTTAAAAATCGTTAAACGTTAATTGACAAATAAACATCTTAATAATTATTATTACATTGTAATATATAATGATTTACTTGCCTATATTAAAACACTGAGATCCAATTCCAGAAAATATGAAGCAAATCGGTCTTTTCGTATATAAGTTGCATCTCCTTTTAATTATTGCATTATCAGTTATTTTGGATCCAGCAATTATGTATCCTCTGTAAGGATGATCTTTTATATTGCCGCTATGAATACGATGTAAGAGAGATATATATTCTACATCTATTGGCCGACTCCGTATCTATAAAAATATATTAGTTATATCTTTAATATAATTGTGAAAGTATAATTATCTTATAACAGTTTAATGGATTATTCTTCTTTAAATTAATTATAAATAGAAATTTAGTTAAGTAAATGTTTTTATATATTTGATTTTGAAAAATCTGAATGCCTCTAAAATATTCTATAATTTATTTCGTTGTCATGTTGGATATTATTTATTCACTTTATACAAATAGATATATTAACAGATCCGTTTCTAGAACAATCGATTTTAATATGTTAAACCTATATGTTAGACCTATTCATATAATTTTCTACTCTTTTTTTCATTTTCATTGACTAAAATCAATTTGAATTTATCTCTATAACTTTTATATTCAGATGTCAATCTTAAAATTATTATTTTAATATGATTAATATACTTTAAACAAATATAATTTACTTATCATAATAATGATTTTAAAAAATTTTTTATATAAACTTTTAAATCATTTTTACCTTTTATTTCGTATTAATATATTTTTTTATCCTTTTCGTTAAATTATTTAATAGTAGTATATACTCACGTCATCTAATATGATTTTAACTGCATCTTTGGTACGTCCAGATATAACTACAAGCTTAGGTAAATTATTATTTGTTTCATTGACTTTAATTTTCGGATTTGATTTCAATAATATATGGGAATTAGCACCACCAAATCCGAAAGAATTAATACCGACGTAGCCACCCTTCCATTCTGTCGGTTCAGTAACTATTTTTACTCTTCCTTCAATGATAGCAGTCATATCCTTTCGTGGATGTTTAAAATGTATAGTAGGAGGAATTATACCAGTTTCCATCGCTATTAAAACCTTTACAAAGAAAATATATTTATTATAATGCATATAGATAATAATATTTTAGTTTTATAATTCTAATAAATAATAATTCTAATAAATAATAAAAAATGACAGATAAATTAGGAAAATATAAAAATTTATATACAGAGTGTCCGTCAATTTTCGACCTTGACGAAATAAGAAAGTAGAATGGCTCAAATTAAGAACGAATGACCTCTATTGTTTTGTAATTGTCGCAATAATTAATGAAAAATTAAATAAAGAAGATCGACCAATCTGCGTGAGTAAAAGCGCGCGGCGACGAGAATCGTCCCTCTGTAATCTGATACTACGAGCGCGGCGAACACCCTGTATATATATATATATATATATATATATATATATATATATATATTAGATTACATAGATGTATTAACTCTATTCTGTAAATCTTTGTGGTAAACTTTACCTTCGCAATTTGAGAATGACCGCTAGCGCATTCAGAATGTCCAGCATTCGATTTTACTGAACCCATTAATAGAGGAAAATCTCTTTTGATGCATATAGCTTCGTCTATTGCTTGAAGCTCCACGGGATCGCCGGCTATAGTGCCAGTTGCGTGAGCTTCTAAATAAGATAATTCAAGCGGCGAAACGTTACATTCTTTGTAAAATTCTTCCAATAATAATTTTTGTTTATCTAATGATGGATAAGTAATTCCTTCTTCTTTAAAACCATCGCAATTAGTTTTACCATAAACAAAAGTCGCATAAATTCTTTTTGCATCCTTTGCTTTTTGCAAGTACACTACTGTAGCCGCATCGCTACGCATGTAACCGGTACCTTCTTCATCGTAAGGTTTACTGTAGCCATCGCCGGATAAAACTCCTAAAATAATATTAATAATTTATTTCGATTGAATATGAAAAATATAATTTACTTTTTTATTCTCGGTGTCTTAATTGATTTATCAGATATTTAAAAATTTTGATAAATATATTAAATAAGCGAATCAGTTATATTGGTATATTTTGAAAAGAGAAACTATTAGATCAAATATATTGTATTAATTAATGCATCAATAAATAACTTAAACCATTTAACAATCTGGAATACAACATCTTTGATAGTAATATTATTTTTGATATACCCAAAAGATAAAACTGTAGAGTTATAAGAGGATGAATGCACAAATTGATACTAGCGACAATAGCTGCATCGCAAAATCCAGATCGAATCAAATTGTAAGCTTCTACCATAGCGAAATGGCTCGAACTACATGCAGTATCGATGTTATATGATGGTCCAGTAACGTTGAGCCAGTAAGAAATTATATTTGCCAACATACTTTTACTGCAACCAAGTATGGGTAATCCAGCAATCTAATTACGATACAATTTTTATATTAATATATTTTTAATATATGTAATTAATATATATTAAAATATATATAATTAATATATGTATATTAAAATTTTTTTGTTACAATATCCTTATATATACATATTAATACGTTCATATAGTTTTAAGAGTGTTTCTTATCGATTTTGAATAATTAAATTATTCACATACATGAGTCTGGAATAATAAAATTATTGACATACATGAGTCTTTTCGTATATTTCAGCGAGCAATGAATCGGAACCTGACATTGCTGTGATAACTCCCATCCTAGTTCCCTGCAGTTCTGCAGGATCGATACCTGCGTCAACAATTGCTGCATAGGTGTTTTCGAGCACTACTCTACTTCCAGGATCAAGCATATGAGCTTCTTTGATCGACATATTAAAAAATTTCGCATCAAATTTTTCTATATTGTTGATTTTTCCTATTCGAGGAGGCATTTCAGTGGCAACTGTCAAAATTTAAAACCATTTATATGAAAATAACATATATTTAAATCATAAATAAGAACAGCATTCTTAAAGATGGGCAAGATATTTTTAAGGATAAACGACATTTTTTGATTATTTTTCCATTTTAACATCAAACGCAAGAAACTTTCGAACATGTTATAATAAAATTGATTTATATAAGTATAAATTGCATATAGAATATTAATTATCAATTTTAATGTTATATTTATAAACCGCTAGATTTTGTAAATTCGTGAGTATCATTAGTACATGTTTTACGAGATATAAATATTATCTTTTTAAATATAAAGAATAATGATATTTTTACCCAGGAAAAAAGTTTATACATATAATTATATATAAAATTTTATATAAAATATACCTACATACATATATATGTTTGCTTACTCTTGTATTTTGCTGCGTATATACAGAAAAAAAAATAAAAAAGAATAATTGGTGAATAATTAAAAGAATAATTTTTTCATTCTTTCTTTTAGAAAAAATGAGATTTGAAGAAATAAAAAGGTCCCATATGTAGTCAACTTTTTCTTTTTATATAATTATATATATAGATCTGTTAGTTTCTTATATATTTATTTTAATCTTCTAAGTAAAAGCGTACAATCTTAAGAATAGGCAGCGAAGAATATAAAAAAGGATATAATGAATAAAAGGTAAGAACTACTTTTAACGCCACATGCCGGCTTATTATCATTGGTCCAATCAGAGATTTCGCTGTCTAGTGAGATTAAATAATAAATGTTTAGCCAATAGAAGACTCGAGTCTGTCGCTATACACAACAAAATCATTTATCCTCAATACTTTTCCACAATTTTATTTATTTTTTATGTAAAAATTTTAATTATTTTCTAAATTATTCTTTATTTTTGTATATAGAAATAGAGATTTATAAGAAACATAGATCGATGTATATATTCTATATATACTTTAACTTATTTTATTTATTTATTTAATTTATTATATATTATTGTGTAGACTTTTTCCCAAGATAGAGAAAAGAAATTTGAGAAAAAATATTGCAGTTGGTCCAGCGTTGATGATCCTCCGAGCCAAGATCCATTTTATTGAAAAGATTGTCCCGAAATTCTTTCATATTATCAGACTTAGGAAATCGTCCAGCGATACCAGAGATAACTATTTCTTCTCCCGCATCAACGCTGACATATGAATTGAACCGTTTATTATTATTATTCATTTTCTACAAATTCTAATAAATCTGAAAAAAGATATTAGAATTTTATTTCAGAATTATATATGTATAATTAGAAAGACGGAGAATGAAACTTATAGTTGTCATAGAAATAATCTTTGAAATAATTTACTCAAAAATTGATAAAAAATATATACAAGAAAGAGCAAGAGAAGAATGTGTACTCACATTTAAAAATTTAAAAAAACATTTTTATGAAAGCAGCGCTCAGCGATTTTAATAAAAAGAAAACTTTATAAAACTGACAATCACAATGACTGATATCATAGAACAAACTGCGTTTAAAACAATAGCGTATTTTAAATCGCGTATTTTTACTTTACACATCCGTTGGACTTTGCGACATTATGCATGTGTAAATTTCATTTTAATTGTAAAATTATACAGATTGTACAATGCACATATTTTCCGGTTGAATTATTATTATTATGAAGTTTATATATTGATTTGTTATCACACTAGTTATACAAGTTAATGTCTGATTTAATAGTAAAACACATTTTTGAGTAAATTATTTAAAAAGATTATTTCTAACTAGTAAAAAAAACATACTAGTGCGATTATTGCGATGTATTAATTTGCGGTTTTTAGAAAATATATTCAAATGCCAGATTTTTTTTTTTTTTTTTTTATTTAAATTAAATAGTTACTACAATCTGTTCATCAAACAAGAACATTTAGTCGTACATATAAGTGTGATAGCATTTGCGAGAAAAATCTCCCCAGTAGGAGGTTTCTCATACGGTTAATATCATTAAGAAGGAGTTTGTCGTTTAAGTTAATAAATCGTAAGGTTTAAGTCTCTTAAGCCTCCGAAGTGCATCACTATTATTAAGAAGTTGATTGGCTTCCTCGTTGGGGTGGTCGTGCAGATGATCCTCGTGATTTTTGGCAAATTTCTGGATAACCCTGCTTACGGTGGATATCCCGAGGTCCGCATGAATGACATCGTTTCTAATGTACCAGGGAGCGTTAACTATGGATCTAAGTATTTGATTCTGGATCGTTTGAATCTTCTTCCTGTTCGCTTCTTTCGCGCAACCCCAGAGAGTCGCGCCATAGGTCCAGATTGGTTTTAATATTTGATTATAAAGTAATAACTTGTTATCAACAGCTAGCTGTGAGTTACGTCCTAGTAGCCAATACATTTTTCTTTGCTTGAGCTTTATTTCAGTGCACTTGTTACGTACATGGTCCTTCCAAGTGAGTCGCGCATCTAAAGTCATACCCAGATACTTTGCTGAGTTGTTGTGAGGAATGACACGTTGATTGATGGTTACCGGTAGATATTGAATTTTTCTTAAAGTATAAGTTACATGGACGGATTTGAGTTCGTTAATTTTAATCCTCCATTTTTTTGTCCATTCAGATATATCATCAAGTGCTAATTGCAGATTTTTCGTTGCTTTAGCTAAACAGCTATTCACTGAAAGGATAGCTGTGTCATCGGCAAACGTAGCCATTGTAGTAGATTTCCCTTTGGGGATATCAGCAGTGAACAACAGGTAGAGCATGGGGCCCAAAACACTGCCCTGTGGCACGCCAGCAGAAATAGGTTTAAGGCTGGAGAATTCATCTCCTATTTTGATTCGAAAATATCTGCTTGTGAGATATGACTTTATCAGCAGATAATGATCTTTAGGCAATATTAGGTTCAACTTATAATATAGTCCCTCGTACCATACCTTGTCAAACGCCTGTGCTACATCGAGGAACACAGCAGGGCAGAATTCTCCCTCTTCAAAGGCTTTTTCAATGACGTTAGTTACACGGTGTACCTGATCAATAGTGGAGTGAGAATTTCGGAAACCAAATTGATGTTGAGGTATATGCTGTTTTTCCTCAATTATTGGTATAAGCCGCTTCAAAATCAGTCTCTCGAATAACTTGGAGATTATTGGAAGTAGCGATATTGGGCGATAAGATGCTATCTCATTTTCAGGTTTGCCAGGCTTGGGAATCATTATAATTTGCGCTACTTTCCACGATTGGGGGAAATATTTCAGTCTTATAGCCGCATTAAACAGATATGTAACAAAGTTGATGGCCTTTTGGGGTAGTTCCTTTAAGATCCGCACTGTGATTAGTTCGTATCCAGGCGCTTTTTTAGGATTCATGCATTTATTAATCATATGCATAGTTTCTTTCGGCGAAATAGCCTGGATTTTTCTTGTATCTTCATTTGCCTTGAAGTGTAAAGTTTCATAATCCACTGGACATTCGTCAGGTTGGAATGTTTTTTCTAAGTGGTCTGCAAAGGCTTCAGCTTTGTCTTTATTATCTCTTGCCCAGGTGTTATTAGCTTTTTTGATTGGAGGATTATGTAATTTGGGTCTCTTCAGTCTTTTGGTGGCCTTCCATAAGGAATACTCTGATTCCTTGGAACAGGACAGGTTTTTCAGGTAAGATTTAAAGCTTTCGTTCTTAGTTTTCTGTAGGAGGCGCTTGAGTTGTTGACTAAGCCGGTTAACGACAGTTTTATCATCCGGATCTCTAGTTTCATGCCATCTCTTACGGGCTGATCGTTTTTCCTTTATTAGTTTCCTGACCTCAATTGGATAATTCGATTCTCTTGAATTTCTTTCAGTTACCACGGGTGTAGCAGCCCAGGCAGCCTGTTGAATTGCCATAGTAAACTGTTCAGCTGCATCATCCAATTGATCGCTGGTTATGAGTGGGATTCTAAGGTTGATTTTTGCCTCCAGCTCTTCACGGAATAGATCCCAATCAGTTCTTCTACTAGTTAGGGAGGGTTGTCGATTTGTTTTAAGAAAAGTTGCACTAATGGTTAAAATCACTGGAGAATGATCCGATGACAGTTCGTAACAGTTTTCCACCTTCATATAGTTTTCGTTAATCCCTTTAACCACGAAGAAATCAAGGAGATCCGGGGTTTTATTTGGATCGGAAGGCCAGTAAGTCGGATTACTGGTTGAGATAAAACTCATGTTATGCTCGTTTGCAGTTCTTAATAGTTCACGTCCTTTGGTGGTGATTAGCCGGGAACCCCAGTGCGTGTGCTTAGCATTATAGTCACCTCCAGCGATGAAACGCTCCCCAAGAGTATTAAAAAAGTCTTCAAACTGTTTCTGAGCATTCGAGTGTCTAGGTGGGCAATAGACGGACGAAATAGCCAGATTTCCTCGTTCGTCATCGATGTTGACAGAGGTTGCTTGGAGATGGCTAGTTTCGTATTTTTGTAACTCATAATGTTTAATACTTGATTTAATAAGTATTGCCGTTCCTCCTCGCGCTTTGCCGTCAGGATGGATTGTATGGTAAAGCATGTAGCCCCTCATGCTAATATGGGATTCCTTGGTGAAGTGGGATTCTGAAACCAATAGTACATCAATATCGTGAAGTTCCACGAAAGCGGAGACTTCATAAACATGCTGGGCAAGCCCATTAGCATTCCAGGTGGCTATTCGGTAAGTTTTACTTATTTTCTCTTTGGTTTAGCTTGTTTACTAGCCAGTATTGGTCTAGTGCTTTCGGCGAACTTTTTTTCAAGAATAGTAAATCTTTCCTCGAATTTATTAAATCTATCTAAGATTTGGTTTAGGGTTGCAATTAAAAAATCATTGGTCGATTTCTCTTTCCCTTCTTTCTCGTTATTGCCCTCGTTAATGTTCTTAGTTATGACTGCTTGAGCAAACGTTTTAGCAAATGTTGGCTCAGCTGGCGTCTGTCTGTTCACTGATTTAGGGTTTTTCAAGTTAGTGTTTCTTACTCGTCTTAATTGTAGTTCCTTGGCTATCTCACAGCCTCTGTAACTAGCTGGGTGCTTGCCGCCACAATTTACGCATTTTGGGTCTGCATCCTTAGGTTTGTTGCATTGGGAGGTATGATGTTTACCTGCACATTTTACGCAGAATGCCTCTTTGAAGCAATGATTTTGGGTGTGCCCGAAACCCTGACATTTCTTGCATTGAGGAATTGTGACATTTTTCCTCAATGCTTCAACTTTAATTTTTTGATGGAGGAGAAGTCTCAGCTGGAAAATTTCCTTTGCGTCGGCTTCGTTCCTGAATGTTATCATAAATAGTGGGAGATGTTTCTTGTCCTTCCTATTAATTATGTTGACTGCACTTTCAGCAGGTAGATGGTATTTTTCTCTTAGTTCGGTGATGATGTCCTCAGGGTCAGTACTAGGATGTAAATGTCTAAACATTACTCGAATCGGCTTGTGGTTTTTATTTTCGTACGTGTGGAAGCTAAACTTTTCATCCAACAAAATTTTTGTAACGGCTCTATAGAGAGTATCAGAGGAGACATTCACCTTGATCCCGCCACCAGCCAGGGTCTGGGAGGTAAAATTATCGCTGCTGAGGGTAGCTTCCTCAATTTTTTGCATTAGGGTTTTCAAACTTTTCTCGCCTAATTTATCAATATAGAAAGGAGGTGGGGCTCGTACCTTAGGTTTTTCGAATTGTAGAATGCCCTTTTTATGTTGTTTATCAGGTGGAGTTACAAATTCGTTTTTTCGTTTTCTGTTTTTCTTAAGAATCCAATCGGTTTCTCTTTGGAGTTCTTCCTCATCAGTTTCATATTCTTTATGAAGTTTGGGATTTTCCACCTTATCCGGAGTTTTCCCGTTTCTTTTAGATTTAGTTAAGGAATTTGCTAGAGAATCTGTGTTTGATTCAGACAGGTCCTTGAATCGAACCTTTAATTCTGCATTTTCTTGGCGTAAAGTGGTAACTATCTGCTGTAATCGCTGGATTTCTGCCATCAGTTGCCCAAAATCGGCTTTGTCGTTCATAGTTGATGATTCGATACCCGATTGAGTTCCGCCTGATGAGAGCGAGCGAGTCATAGACATCAGCTCATTACCTTCAGTTATTGTTGAGGGTTTATTCAATGAATAATTAACAAACAATGTCCGGCCCTCCCCAGAATCCGTAGGGCCGACCTCCGTAGAGGGTGGATTTTCCAGACTAACTGGGCTGCCACCTGGGGTATAACTTCCGTATGTTTTGTTCATTGCCTGATTTGCTGTTGGTCCACGAGAGGTATTTTGTTTCCCTCTTACCCTGCGAGTCCAAGGACACGCCGAGCGTTCCCCCATCCGCCACCCGGGGGACGCGCCCTATAGCGGTTACAGCTCCGCCAAGGGATTCAAATGCCAGATGAATTTTTTGTTCAAATTCATTTTGTAAAATATAAAAAATATGTAAATTTATCTACAAATAATAATAGAATTTTAAAAGTGAAACACACTTTTGAAATTCACGGCAGTCAAAATTAATTTTTTACATTAAATATTGAATTATTAATTAAATAATGTTATTAATTAAATAAAATATTGAATTATTAATTAAATATTTATGATAAAAATTTTATTGCATATTTAGCTTCTAATAGCTGTACAGCTTGAAGAGGATATTTTTTAAATTTTATTTTTTTATTATTTTAGAGAAAAAATTTAAAATATTAAATTTACTGATTCTTTTATTATTTTTGAATAAAAATATAAAATCTTAAAAGCATTTAAAAAGATAAATAGATGTATTTATACACATAAAGATCTGATAATAATCATATTTATCATTCGTGTGTAGAGTGGATCAAATCAAATAAAGAAGTTCTTTACCGTTTCGATTTTTAAAATAGTTAATGAGAAATTAATTAATAAAAATCCACGCGAGAATAGATGTACGATGAACAGAGATATTCCAAGAAACGCAATTGCTAAACGCAATACATAATTAAATTTTTATTATTAATTGAGTATTGTTTGATTATTAATTCTAGTGTTTAATCATACGGAAATTATACCTGTTCTGTCCAAAACTACTCTACCTGCAAATGAGACGTGATTAGGTTATTACTAGACACATATATATATATATTATACGTATTGATCTTAATAGTATTTGTTCTTTCATTTTTCAACGTAGAATTATGCAATATAAATTATACATTTCCAATTTATATATGTATAATTAGGAAGACAGAATGAAATTTATAACTCGCATATAGAAATAATCTTTCAAATAATTTACTTAAAAATTGAAAACAATATATATAGTAAAGAGTAAGAAGAATTTGTACTCACCACATTCAAAAATTAAAAAAAATTTATTTTATGAAACTAGCAGCGCGCAATGACTCTAATAAAAACACAACTTTATAAAACTGACTGTTACAATGGCTATCTCACATCAGAGAACAAACGTGTCTTACTATTAAATCAAATGGGAATGACTGTGTGATAACCATTCAATATATAAGCTTCATAATCCTAATAATTTGACTGAAAAACGTATAAATTATAATCAGCATAATTTTACAATTAAAATGAACTTCCCGTGCGCATTATATCAAAGTTCAACGGATGCACAAAATAGAAATATGCATATAGTTTAAAATACGTTAGCGTTTTAAACGCAGTTTAATAAATATATTAGTGCGATTATTGCGTTGTACTAATTTGCGGCTTTTAGAAAATATATTCGAATGCGAGATGAATTTTATATTCAAATTCATATGTTGTAAAATGTAAAGTATCAAAAAATATATAAACATATCTATAAGTAATAACAGAATTTTAAAAAATAATTTTAAAAAGTAAAACACCTTTTTGAAATTCGCAGCAAGTCAAAATTAATTTTCTACATTAAATATTGAATTAACATTTAATGCAAAAGATAGATTTATTTGTTCACATACATATCTGATAATAATCATATCACCTCATGTGCAAATAGAGTGGATTAAATCAAATAAGCAAGTTCTTTACCGTTTTGTGCGATTTTTATACATAAATAAGTAATGAGAAATTAATTAACAAAAAATTTACGTAGGAATAGATGTGCGACGAGAAGAGATATTCCAAGATATGTTATGTAATTCCTAAACACAATACATAATTAAATTTAATTATTAATTGAGTATTAATTGTTTGATTCTTAATGTTTAATCATACGGAAATTCCTGTTCTGTCCAAAACTACTCTATCTACAGATCAAACGTTATATACTACAGACATCACATATACTATATACATTATACGTACTGACCTGTTATAAATATATATCTTTATTTAAGTAAAAATTCTCTCTGCTATGTTACCTTCAAGAGAACAAAAGAACTAATTTTAACAGTAAGAGAGAAAAATAAAGTAGGGCAGCGTTTATACGAAGCATACACAGTGTCGCACAATTGCCAAAAGGAACTCTGACTCGAACTGAATAAACGCCTCACACTCCAACACCTCTTCTCGCTTTAGTCAGTTCGAATCATTGAACTCCTAGACGATCGGTTAGTTCCAGAAAACGTTCCTTAGCCAATGGTTTCAACATGTCGGCTAGCTCATATGAGACGAGCAGCATTCCACACTTATTATTTTCTTCTCCCGTAGGTTTCGAATTTGATGATAGCGTACATCAATATGTTTCATCCATTCCTGAGTTTAGAAAATTTCCATGGGTGTAGCTGTTAGTTTTGATTCCAACATATCATATTCTTCCAACATATTTGCGATTTTTCCCTTCTGGCTAAGTAAAAAGGATCCATCTGCTTCGCGCTCTATTTGAATGTCTAGATAGTGACTAACATTTCCTAAATCGTTATATTAGTTCGTTTATATTAGAATATCCTTGAAGATCTTTGCTTATTTTCTTAGTTATTTCTACAGATATGCCAGCTACTAGAAGGTCGTCAATATAAAGTAGTATGTAGGTAGTATTGCCATCCTTCTCTTTCCTTATTGGTACAAAGAAGCTTTTCGAATTCTACCCTAAAATCATCATCCGTAATCATCTGTATCATATTGTCCATAAATGTTACCCAATTGTCAGTCCAGGCAATATGACAATTCTTTTCTGTGATTGACGCGCTTCTTAATCTACGAAATTCGCCGGGATATTGATAACCACGAAGTTTCAACTCTTTGTAAATATCTTTTATAATAAAATAAATATCTTTGTATTGTAAATATCTTTTATTCATCTCCTCTTTATCATTATCGTTTCGATCGATAAATGTGCTATATATTTTCTTCTCTTCAATATTAACTGGAATTCGTACTGTTTCAGTGACCACAGCACTGTCCCCTTAAATTATTTCAAATTTGCAACTATCTATAACAATACAATTATCAATTTTTTGTATAAATATTTAATTTACAAACGAAAATTCTATTCCATATTTTATAACGAGATTCTATAATATGTTTCATAACGAGAGGATGTTTCTAACAAAGAATAAATTCCAGCCGGCCTTCAATCGCAGAAATGAAGTAGTATGGAAAGAATATACCAATCATTGTATGCAATTTGCAAGTTAAATGAATAAGAATTGATTTTAATTTTCTGTCTGCATAACATTATTAATGATCAAATACGCAATAGATCTGATATTTGCGTCAGAAAATTAGTTTCTGACGCAAATACACATTCACATTCACATTCACATTTCAGAAACTTACTTTACGTATAATATATTGATTTAAATATAATATGAAATTTATAATTTATATTGCATAATTCTATCTTGAAAAATAAAAAAGACACACGCTATTAAGGTCAATATATGTATGTGACTATAAATAATATGTATAATGTATTACTGAATATGCATAATGTATATCTATGGTGTCTGGTAATAATCATAGTATCTGTAGATCTTATCTGTAGATAGAGTAGTTTTGGACAGAACAGGAATAATTTCCGTACGATTAAACATTGAAATTAATAATCAAACAATTAACACTTAATTAAATTTAATATGTATTAATATGTAATAATTACAATAATAATTAAATTTAATATGTAATAATTGGAACGACAGTTTCAAATAATACAACAAAAAGAAAGCTTATTATAACTAAGGCCTACAATATCGGTAAAGGAATTAACTTTTTCATGCATCTTTTATATATGCAATTTGCTGTCTTGACTGTAACTACTCGTCCTATCCCATCATCGCCAGGATGAATGGTATCTATTATATCCGTATTATTCGTTAGGCTGAAAAATGTGTGAATGCTCTCTCAACAGAATATGCGTGAATGCCGTTGCCACGGATGGATTCTGTCGCTCGTTGACCAATGAGCGTAAAAACACGTCCGACCTCCTTCCACATACATCCCTTTCTTTCTCTGGATTTTTATACTCTACCAGTACCTTCTATTACTCTATCAGTAATAATGGTAAAGCCTTTCACTGTAGATTCCCAAACATCTCCAATGAGATTAGGCTCGATGAGGAATGAAAGACCAACGTATCCCTTCATTTGCTAGAAAACGAGCGATGGATTGTTGATTTTCTTCTTTCTTTAGAAACTGAGACACTTCTTTCAAAGGATTACTCGCACCTACTAAATTAGTGCCATTACCTGATATGATTGAATAATTTGAGCCTTGCACCATGCGCAAATAATCCCTTCAAATTAGCTATAAACGCTTCATAAGACAAATCGTTTACAATTTCTAAATGTACAAGACTTAGTAACTAGACATAAATATAGCTACGTAAATCTTAATTTTATTGCGATGGTGAAGTTTCTCCAGAATGGACCGCAAAAATCAACGCCTATATTTTCAAAGGTCTCGAGCATGCAAGTCTAGCTTCTGGTAAATTACCCATCTGATACTCAGGTATCGAAGGCTTCCATCTTGTGCAATTTATATATTTTCGAATTATTCCTCGGACGTTTTTTCTTCCGTTTATTCAATAAAATTGTTTTATCGCTTACAAAGTTGCCTCATTACCTGCATGACAAAGTTTAATTTATGCGTTTCTCTGATTATCAATTCAACGATATGGTTGCTAGATGGTAACAAAGTTAGATGCCTTTGGCTGAACTCTAAATTGGCATGCTTTAATATACCTCCGATTGTCTACGAATGAATTGAGTGATAATAAATTACTTTCCCTATCCATCGAGAGGTTCGCCTTCAAATTTTGTAATTCACTCTCAAAACTAACATAAATTAATTTTATTATACGCTTTTCGGCTTCCTTTAATTTTTCCATAGTAAGATATTTTGGGAATGTTTTTTATGCCTGACAACTAGCAGTAAAATGCAGACAATAAGCGATTCTTCATCTTGATGAACGATGAGAATTGTAATAGTATATCCATGTTTGTGTTGAAAGTACTATATATACATATTACAACTATTTCGCATTGTTCTGGAATTTCGATGCTGGGTATTAAATTAAGCGGCTAAGAATTCTCTTCATTAGATAATCACATCGGATCTCTCAACCAGATGGAATTATTAATAAAATCATAAAGAAATTATCTCTTTGATAACGCATCCGCAGGATTATCTTGAGAAGGTATGTCTCCAATTTCCATGTTCAATATCCTTTTGTATTTGTGATACACAATTTGCGACAAATGTTTTCAATTTATGCGGCGATGTTTGAATCCAATAAAGTACGATGGTTGAATCGGATCAAAAAATTTCTTTATCCAAATTAATTCGAAGAGATTTCCTAGTAGTTTTATAGTGTTCCAAGAAGAACTGTTGCGCATAATTCAAGACAAGGCAACGAGAATTTCTTGAGCGGAGCTATGCGAGTTTTCGAGCAAACCAGACTAATTGTATGAACACCAATGATAGTCATAGATCGTAGATATATTAAAGCTCCGTATAAGTCTTCGTTAGCATCGCAAAAGCTATGTAATTGAATTTTTACAGCACTATTCTCGATAATTTGACGTGGAAACGTGCAGTTGCTTAAAAGTTCGATTTGTTCCTTGTATTAATCCTTGTATAGTTCCTTGTATTTGTTCCTTGTATATTAAATAATTATTAATATAATAATTATAATTACGGTATCTCTCTTAGTCTGACTCTTTCTCTTTGACCTATCCGGCATGGGTGACCCTACCAGTAATTAAGGCCGTTCACACAGTCTTATATTTAAAATCGTTTTAAGTAAAATTTAGAAAATGTTTGTTATTTTATTGAGACTGAACAGAATTTTAAGATGCGATCTAAGATTATATTTAAGATGATTAAATATAAAAACAGATTGTATGAATACTGGCCTATGTTACCGCCGGCATAGCTCTCCGGATCATTAGAGTACTCAAACCTCCTCACCCGGCAATGCCTTCGTTAAGGTGGAGATACCATCGAGAAGGTACAATTTTTTTATTTTATTTTCTTTTAATATAATGTAGATTTTTCAAATTTTCCAAATAGAAAATATAATACAAAGAA